CCTTCAAAAGGTTGATGACCCTGTCACTTACCCTATCAATGATGATGAAGTATTAATCGAATATGCCAAAGACGGCTCTTCCATTACCCTTTTTGAAAATCTCTCCTTCGACACACCCCTCACACGTGATGGCACATCTGCCTCTGAGATCTGACGAGCTGCAGCTCTATCCCCATTAAGAAACTCTTGGATCTATGCACGAAAAACCAAAGAAGATGAAGAATACTTGAAAACTAGTAATAAAGCTCAAGAATTCACTCTCAAAGATGCTCAAGAAAAGAAGAAGAAAACTTTTGAAGAACTTGTCCCCAATTGTCTCCATGACTTTGCCGATGTTTTCACCAAAGACAGCTTAAACAAACTTCCCCCATCTCAACCAGGTGTTGATCATAGAATCAAAACCAAACCTGGATATATTCCAAAATCCGCAAAAACTTATCCTTTATCTCCAAAAGAAACCAATGCTGTGAAAGCTTTTCTTGATGAACACATTGCTAAGACTTTATCCAACCTTTGAAATCTCTGCAAGCCAGCGGATTCTTCTTTGTAGGAAAGAAGGATGGATCTCTATGACCCTGTCAAGACTATTGTTACATCAATGAATGGATGATAAAGAACGCCTATCCCCTTCCTCTGATTTCCCCTCTCATCGCCAAGCTAAGGGACACCAAGTATTTCACCAAGATGGACGTCTGATCTGGATATAATAATATCTTGATCCACCCTGATGACTGCTGGAAAGCAGCATTCACTACCTCCTTTGGACTCTTTGAACTGAAAGTGATGTTCTTCGGCTTATGCAACTCCCCTGCAACATTCCAAGCCTATATGAATCAAACCTTCCAGAAGGAGATTGCTGAAGGCTGGATGATTGTTTATATGGACAATATCCTCATTTTCTCGAAGACCCTAGAAGAACACCAGAAACAAACACTGCCATATCCTCAATATCATCTGAAAAGAAACCCTTTTCCTGAAACCCAAAAAATGCACCTTTGATGCTCAAGAAGTTGATTATCTCAGAATGATCATTTGCCCTGGACAAGTTGCTATGGATCCAGCCAAACTATCTGGCATCAGTCAATGGACAATTCCGATGTCAGTGAATGAAGTCCACTCATTCCTTGGGTTTTGCAACTTCTATTGTCACTTCATTTCCCATTACTCCAACCTTGCATGACCCCTGATAGATTTAATGAAGAAAGATGCTGTCTTCACTTGGTCACAATCTTGCACTGACTCCTTTGAGAAACTGAAGCAGTGTTTCTTATCAGAACCTGTCCTCCATAACCCTGACCCTTCTTGACAATTTACCCTCACAACTGACGCTTCTGTTAAGGTCATACTCAAGGGATAACTGGATCCAAAGGGCTTCAGCCTCAGCTTGTGCACTGTGCCTCTTACCTGAGTATTGCCCCTTATTTCAGGAAGGCAAGACTAACATGTCTGGAAGGTCAGACGAGTATCGTAGTGGATCCAGATGACTTCCAGATGCAGGATAGGTATCGTAGGGCTAATCTGGATGAGTCCAGACTAGAAACTAATGGTAATAGACTGTCGGAGACAGAGGCAGATATGGATAGACTATAGGAATCAATCCTAAGTCTCAGAGAGTGATGAGAGTAGAGATACCCAAGTCTGGAGGATGGGAATGAGTAGAACTAAGATGATATTTGAACTGAGGTGCTACAGAGAGTTACAGGAGGTTATATACTATAGATTTCTAATGGAATGATCAATCAGCAGAGTCCAAGGCTATGTACGAAGCATATGGGTAGTCTATTGGTAAGTAGTAATGGATCAGGGAGCAGGACGGATATACAGATAACTGAAATACCAGAGTTAGGGGGTTACCGAAAGGAGATGAGCACTGGTTGTGGATTCGGATGAGTTGTGGACTGGACTGGACGAGTGGACAAATTGAATGACGAGATGTTGGAGGGAGATAAGATGTGGATAGGATCAGAGATAAGATGTGGATCTGAGATGAGATAAGGGTCAGATCTGAGATCTGGATATGTGGATATGACAGCTTCACTTGTTGCCACTGGAGCAGTTCTCCTTCAGACCAATGTGAATGGCGCATATCACCCATGCAGCTATCTCTCTCAATCCTTTAACCCCACTGAACAAAACTACCAGATCTATGATTGTGAACTCCTTGCTATCATCTGTGCTTTGAAAGCATGGCAACACTACCTTGAAGGGAACCCTCACCCTGTCATCGTTTTCACTGATCACAAGAACCTCCTCTACTTCCACTCTGCACAGAATCTTACTCGCCGAGTTGACAGTTAACCCTGAATGAATTTAACCTTGAACTCCACCATGTCCCAGGAAGCAAACTTGCTGCTCCTGATGCTCTCTCACAATGCCCTGATCACTCTTCTGATTCCTCAGATAATTCTAATGTCACACTCCTCCCTGATATCATGTTTTCCCATCTTATTGACAATGACCTTGCCAATGCCCTGAAAACCATGAACCCCCTCACAAAATCATTTCCAACAGAGGACCTCAGTTTGCCTCTAAATTCACCAAAGAACTCAGAAGACTCCTCAACTATGAAGTCGCACTTTCCACCACCTACCATCCACAAACTGATGGACAGACTGAATGTCTGAATCAGGAACTTGAAACCTACCTCCGCATCTATTGCTGCTCCACTCCTCTTGATTTGGTAAAGCATCTACCCATGGCCAAATTTGTCCACAACCACCAAAAGCATGATGCCCGCAATGTCTCCCCTTTCCACCTCATGATGGGTTATGAACCCCGAGGAATCCCCTATATTCTCCCAAACTCTGCCATCCCTGCAGCAGAAGACCAAGTCAGATACCTTCAGAAGATCCAAGAAGAAACTATTTCTTGTCACAATCTCACCATGCAATGCATGTCTGATCAGACCTTTGGAAAGAAGTTTGAACCCTGGAAGATTGGTGAGAAAGTTTGGTTATCGGCAAAGAACCTTATCACTGGACTACCCTCAAAGAAGCTTGCCCCTAAACACTATGGTCCTTTCACAGTAGAAGCTGTTCTTTCCCCTATCACATTTAAGATCTGACTCCCTACCTCCTGGAAATCACACCCTGTCTTCCATGCTTCTGAGTTATCCTCCTATTGGGAAACAGAAGTCCATGGCCCAAACCACACCAAACCACCCCCTGACATCATCAATGGACAAGAGGAATATGAAATAGAAGCCATTCTTGCCCATAAGGGAAATGTAAAAGGAAAATGACACTTCCTTGTATCATGGAAGGGCTACCCTTCTTCAGATAACTCCTGGCTTCCTGAAAAAGAACTAGACAATGCCCAAGAAATCCTGAAAACCTATAAAGACTGCCTTTGACTCTCTTGACTCTTTACCTAGAAACCTGATCCCAGACATGCCTTCTTCATGATCCTCGAACTCTTCTCTTGAACTCCATCACTCTCAGCTTGAACTTCACCACAAGTGAGCTCTTGTTGAATCAACCCTTTCTTCTCTTCCTTGTGTTTTACCTTTAGACCATTTCTTTTCTGAAGACATTGTTTCTCTTTCTTTGATGACCATCCACCACAGTGCAGACCTGGCATCTAGCTATGCCCATACCATCACAGCCCCTGCTGAAGAAACTACCAAGTGTTCTATCATTTATCATATGACCAAGATCAAGTCCCTCACCACTGAACAACTCCTAGATCAAGGGTTTGAGCAAGCACTCACCCCAGAAATGATCTCTGAAATCATGAAACTAGAACACTCTGTCTCTGTTGAACCCCTTCATTTCTCTACCCAAGAAGTCCCTAGATCTCCATCAGAATCTTCTGATAATGACACCCCTGTCCCTGCTCCTTCACAGCTCACAGTTTGCTCTGCAGGAAACCCACACCATGCTCATGGTAAGAAAAGAAACACAGTTGCCTTTGGAATAGGCCTCTCTCATCCCATCACACCATCCCCTGCTCCACCTATCACCATTGATGAGGACAAACCAGTATCCTCCTTCAATTCTCGTGCCCCATCAGAAGAAACTTTTCGATGTGATAGGAATGGCATAGACTATTATGACATCATTTGTCGATATTGCCAGCAGGAAGGACATTGTCAGATCCACTGCCCTCACTATTTCTGCCAAGAATGCCACCACCATGCTCCAAAACATCTCACAGCCTATTTCCCTACTCTTCAAGGACATCACATCATTAACACCAAACCTGGCTCTTGGGCCTTCCACTACCAGTTGAAAATCTATGAAGAAAAGAAGGACCTTGAACAAGAAGAGCATGAAAAGCAGTTTGCAAGAGATGCTGATTTTGACCCTAACAACTATCAGAATCTTAGTGACTGAAAGTTGGTGACTTCAGACATTAACAGGGGGGTAATGTTACAGTACCCCACTCTTTTTCCCATCATCACTGTGGACACCTTGTGGCTGTACTTCTAACACTTCCTTTCACTGTGCTGTTTCCTCATGGTCTCCTTTATCTTTGACTCATACTCTGTTTTCCCATGAACCTTCCATTCCTAGTACTAGTTACCCTTTGCCCAGCATGGTCTGTGCACAATTCCCCCTATGTATATAAACTCTAGTTACCACTTGTATTTTCTCTAACTTGAATCTACTTGGTTCTCTTTCATACTTGAACTCTAGCTCCTTGGGAAGGAGGCTAGCCATTGTCCCATTTGAACTCTAGATCCTGTGGGAGTCTAGACGATCACTCCTGAGGGAGGCGTTGACTTGATAAGGCTTAGTCCTTGATCAACCTTGATCCTTGATTCCTTTATTGGAACAATGCTCTATCTGAGTTTGTAACAGAAACCATCAACCCAGCTTGAAAAGTTGCATCCACTACGCTTTGTTGTTGACAAGAATAATAAGCCTATTCCCTTGGAGTGTGTCACATCAATCTGTACCACATCTTGATAGGTGTTTGTGGACATCTGGAATATCAATGAGGCTCCTAAAAGCTGGGGAGCAGCATTGGGATCTGCTAGTAAGCTGTACTACTGAGAAATGGTAATATTCTTCCCTGAGCTGGGCTACTGTGATGGCAACTGGAAATGCGATGCCATTGTGACTGCTAGCTATACCTCTTGGCACAAGAATCACATCAACTGCTTGGACTGTAAAGGGACCTACAAACCAACAGCAGAAGACGTCATCGATTTTTATAACCTCGAGACACTGGACTCTGATGACACTGAGGGTACTAACACAAAGACTACCAAATGGCAGACCTGTGATTCTGAACCACTTGACACCAGGTCAAATTCCAGTAAGAAGCAGAAGTCCTCAGAAATATCTAGTAAGTTCATTGATTTTATCTCTATAATCATTTAACTGTTTACTACATTAATAGCAATTGAATATGCACCACCATCACTACCAGTCCCAGAAGCCATGGACTCAACTAGTCGATCCCCTAGTATGTCATTCAGTTTGTTCTTCACAATCCCACTGCCTTCACTTAGCAATAGTTCCAGATGGGAATACCCCACCAGATTCAGAGTTCCAGCCCACTAATGACCATTCCATTTCAATGATTGCCAAATCTCATGCTGCTAGCTCCTCAAAGGAGATGCCCACATCCAGTGCCCCTGCCAGAGTATGTATTTGTCTCTATATTGTCACCTCACACTCAGATGCTTGTTTGTAGTTCCATGCATGGTCATTGAAATTTGCAAACCTGCTGTAAGCCTGCTTATTTATTCAAGAACTTGAACTGACCAACATTAGCACTACTCTTGAACCAACCAACACTAATCAACTACCATTAATTCAACCTCCCCCCTCTGAAGATATTCAGTCTATGACTCTGGCAGAGGAACCAATATCTATACAGCCCACCAGTGAACCTGTGCTGCAGCCTTCCATTGTACTGATGCCAGGACACTCCCCAGATGACTCTGAGATGGTCCCCAATGCCCACCCACCAGCCACTATTCAAGTCAGTGCTGATGTGTGTTACAGTTCTATTTCTTTCTCTTTCACCTCTTCACTTATTCACAATTACTAATCATTCTTAGACATTCTATAACATTCTATCGTACGATTCTCATTTCTCTTTTCCGATTCGTTATTTACTTTCAATCTCCAATTCATTTATTAAAACTCCGCTTTAATTCCTTATATATACTCTATCTTTTACGCTTGTATTCTTTAACTTGACCTACGCAGACCAGGGCCTGCAATATACTGCTTAACTCGCATGACTCATACATAGGTGTACGCTTTAGACTCTTTGTGACCATTTAGCCGTTCTTACGAACGCCGAGTGTAACAATGTGATACCAACCACTAGCAGTAAGTACTGCCACATAACCAGACAACCAGCTCAATTCAAATATCCTTCCAACAGCAACCATGGTATCTCTACTAGTAGATGCCTCTGCTATCAGCAAATCCCAGACCAGTGTGCCAGCAAAGAAGTCAAGGAAGATGCAGATCAGGAAAGCACAAAATGGATGGTATGTCTGCATCAGTGGTGTTCCTTGCCATTGTACGTATTCACAAACTCCATAACAGTAACCTATGTGCACGTGAATGGCTCACTTGTAACAAGACTGGATCAGCAGCTGAGCTCAAGGCCTACTATGATGGACTGTCAGATGGAGAGAAAAAGGTGTGCCTTCTGTCTCATTTGTCCTCAGGTTGGACTAACATATTTAATCAGTCATATGATAAGCTTGCTGCCAAGAAAGTATGTACTATGACCTAGTAGAACATGTTGCACCTACTGACAGGTATTCTTTGAACTAGGTTGCAGCTAGTGAATGGCCCCATTAGCGACACCACTCTCCTTCCAACCCAACTTCTTGCAACCTCACTGCCTCCCTGCATTATCTTGATCATCCTTGCACAAGGATCGCTGTCAGCGACAGTATGAGTCTCCCTCCAACTTCTTGTGATCTCACTGCCTCTTGGGATCAGACAAGGAACAGCTGCATATGAATGAGCGTGGTGTCCTACTACTTAAGGGTCTTATGTACAATGCATATATAGTGACAACACAACTATACAGGATAAGACTTCTTGTCAGTCCTTAAGTACACGGTCTATGACTTTTCTAGTTTTTGTGGTAGATAACGTGTGAGTTCTTGGGAGGGATATGTTTCAATTATCCTCTTCTTGTTTCCTTGGTCTAAAAGCAACTGGTGGTCTAGAGTACTACATGTGAACTTTTTGAATGTGTAGCACTTTGTGTGCTTGAGAATCATGTCTCCCTTCCTGGAAAAGAGAGAAGAAAGTGGTGTAGATGAAGTTTTAGCTTTTAGTCAGCTGTACTGTTAGTTATATAGTCAATCCCTGTAAGGTAGTATATAACCTGAATAGATATTTCTTAGTCTTACTTCAAGGCTACCAAATGGCCTGCACTTAAATCTTAAATGTTCTCACATGGTTTGAGATAAAGAGTGAAAGTGGGAAGTCTATTTTCATAAGTGTAAAATGAGCTCCTTATATACCTTTTTGGAGACCATCTTACTAAGCATGATTCTTCACAATGATTGGTAAGAATGTGCTTACAAACTTGTGTTGAGTCAGCTTGTTTACTAAGTAGATACTAAATAAAGTGAAATCTTACAAAGCATAAAGAAAAGTGGCATGAGTCATCACATGGATTGGTAAGATTTGTGCTTACAAACCAAGCCTATGGGTGTGCTGAATCAGCCTTATTACTAAGTAGATTATAAATACAGTTGCAAGTCTCACAAAGCATGACAAAGCATGACCAAACATGATGAGTCAAGTTGAATCCTTACAAATCAGAGTGTTTTCCCAGTCACATGACATGCTTACAAACATGCCTGGTGGCTCATGAGAAAAATGTGGTGGCTGAATATGCCTAAGTAAAGTAGAAAGAGAAAAAAAGTAGAAGTGAAATCTGAAAGTGAAGAACTAGCTAAACAATAAGGAATAATGATGGGATAGCTTGGTGATAGGGATCAGTCTGGTGTGTTATACCTTCCTTATCACTCCTGTTATGTATATGTCATGGTATGGATCACATACCATGCATGACAGTGGGCTGGAACAGATGGTGGTGGGATGTGCCAAGTTTTATTACATATATCCGTCTACCTGTAATGTATACTACACAATACCAGCAGATCTGGCACAATATAGGATGATGCAACAAGCATTGAACCAGGCAATACCAGCAGATCTGGCACAATCCAGGATGATGCAATGTGTCCTGTAGCCACACAATGTCAGGAGATCTGGTACAATCCAGGGTGACATGCAAATATTGCATCTGAATAATCTGTGACAATCATGCACAATCATGCACATTTGCACATGTGCTATTAGTCCCATTTTTCTGTTGAGATTGTGTCACTTAGTTTAGACCATTTCATGCAACCTCAGCCATTCTCAGAACAGTGGGTTTTCACTGGGACTCAGCACTATATGGAAGGTCTTCATACTATGTCTTGCAGTCTGGATTGCAGTAAAACACTTCCATGAACTATGACAACATCTGGCAGGAGGGATTATTGAGGACTGTTTCACAGTGTTGATCAAAACTCATGTCGTTTACTTTGTGAGGTAAGCTCATATTGTGATTATTATTCCTTTTTCCACTGATGGGTTGGATGTGGTAGCTTTGTTGCTGTTTCTTGCTTCTCTCTCATTAATGATTTATATCCAACATTCTTCGCAGTATGTCAATCTTTCACTTGCCTATGCATGCTATCACAGTTTATTGTTTCTATAGAGCAGTTCCCTGGCCCCTCAGATTCTTTCAACCATGCCTGATCCTTGGTGTTTGGGAATACTATGCTAAGCTTGTGGCCAATTCTGACACAGCAACTGGTATGACCTCAATCACTTTCCAGGAGTGTGTGGAAATATCAACTGGCAGTGGTGTGTGATAATTGGTGGAGTTAACAGCTGTCTTGTGCCCTCCAAAGAGCAGGGAAATTTACTTTTATTTATTACCACTTTCTTGAAAGTATTGATCAAAGTTATTTGGTGTTCCAAAGTAGATTTCAAGGAGACATAAAGTTTTCATTGTATTATTCAGTCAAGTGATCTGCTATACATGCTGATAATTTTAAAATGAATATCCTGAAATCTATACTGCTACCCACACTTGCACCAATCACTGGTTCTTCTTCCTCTGTCTGATAATGATCATTCACATAATTGCTTGGGCAAATGAAATGAGGGTGCAAGAGCCAAGTTGAGCAACAGTGCACAGCCTTGGTTCCTCAACAACCTGTCCTCAATTTACAATGAGAACATGATCAGGGCACCAGGCAAATAAAATGTGTTTTTTTAGAAACTTGAATTCAATCTTTGTACAAAGGAGTTCCCCTTGTGTTCTTTTCATTATCTGTCCAACTCAAATTACATGAAAACTCATAGTCTCAAGCCTATACAACCAAACAGATGGTCCAAGCTTACTCAAACCTGGTTCAAATGCGAACTGGACCCTCCCAAATGCATTTGGTGATGTTTGGTCCAGGGTTTGACCACATGGCTAAACCAAACCTATGGTTCAGTTCAGTGTTCAGAAAATTTGCCCCAAGAACCGGACTGAACTGGACTTTGGCAGCACTATGAGTTTGTAACACAATCAGGATGATGCAAAATGTTTCAGTGGCATCTTATGATTTCATGATGAGAGCACCTGGTAAGAGTCATTTAACCGAACTCCCTCATTCATACCGACAAGATTATCTAGTTTGGACTGAGTCATAGTTTATACTGTTGTATTGTGTATGTATGTATTAGCATAGTCATGAGAATGTGCTACACTTGCATTTGCATTTGCATTGCAAGGTTTCATCCCTCTGTGCCGGAAAGGAAGACTGCAGTTTGCATGACAACCATGCTCACTAACAACATTACAAGTCTGTCATTTCAATTATTTCCAGCAGACAGAGCCAGAATATAACATCAGTCTCAATATACATAGACATGACAGTACATACTGTCATGCCATGCCACTACTCTGTGGCTCAAACAACATGACCATTATGTCTGTTGGTGCAACCAGACATTGACATTTGTCCCTGAGGGTTGTCTATTGCAATGAGAGGATGACCCACTCACAGCAGACAGAGCCAAAGTATATATACTCTTGATTAGTGATGTGCATGGCCCAGCTTCAAGCTGTGGGCTGGCCAAAGCCAGCTCTAGTTAGGCCAAGCCAGGCTGGGCCAAAGTCATGGCCTGACCACAGCCTAGGGCCTGGCCTGGGCAGTTGGAAAGCTGGAGCTGGTGGCTCAAGCTGTGGCTTTTACTCTTACAGCTATACTAGTCATCTGAGACAACAATGAGCTCAATTGTTAATGTATCACTCTGATAGTCCAAAAGTTGCAAATTCTCCTTTGTCTGAGTCAAGCCCTCTAACAGTCCTTCAAACAAGCCTCAATTAAAACCACTGAAATCCTCGGCGCTACTTCCTCCTTACCACAGACTCATCTGCATGTCAGCAGCTTCTATGAATCCAACATACACTTAAGCACATCTGAGACGTCCAATGGAATGGAAGCCTGAGAGAAGTCAAGTGTTTGATGAGTGTTTGCAGAGCTTAGCCAAAAGGAGCATCAGAGCATCAGAGCACAGTGTATCTGACACCAGCTCATACTTGTATGCTAGCCAGTAAGAACTGTGAGTCATCTTTTGTCATGCTTTGTGAACTCAATGCTACTTAGATCTTTGAAGTGTCATCTATCTGTGGCACAATCTCAATGATTTATTGAGATAAATAGTATTAGTACATTGCTATCCCTACTCACAAATCCCTAATTCTAATGGCAGGAACAATCCTCTCAGATAGTGATGACAAACCTTGACTAGTGCATCCAGCATGCAAAATTGAGCCCTCTGCTGCACTCCTCGAGCATTCTGAGAAGGCAGCTCTCCCATCTCAAACTAAAGCCATCAATGCATTTCGTGCAGCAGAGGCCACAAAGCATGGTTCCAACAATCCCCAGCCCACTAACTCTGTTAAGGTCATACTCAAGGGATAACTGGATCTGAAGGGCTTTGGCCTCAGCTCGTGCACTGTGCCCCTTATTTCAGGGAGGCAAGACTAACACATCCAGAAGGTCGGACAAGTATTGTAGTGGATCCGGATAACTTCTGGATGTGGGATAGGTATCATAGGGCTAATCCAGATGAGTCCAGACTAGAAACTAATGGTAATAGACTGTCGGAGACAGAGGCAGATATGGATAGACTATAGGAATCAATCCTAAGTCTCAGAGGGTGACGAGAGTAGAGATACTCAAGTCTGGAGGATGGGAATGAGTAGAACTAAGATGATATTCAAACTGAGGTACTACAGAAAGTTACAGGAGGTTATATACTATAGGTATCTAACGGAATGATCAATCAGCAGAGTCCAAGGCTATGTACAAAGCATGTGGATAGTCTATTGGTAAGTAGAAATGGATCATGAAACGGAAATGAAACATAGGTAACGGATCAGGGAGCAGGACAGATATACAGATAACCAAAATACTGGAGTTAGGGGGTTACCAAAAGGAGATGAGCACTGGTTGTGGATTTGGATGAGTTGTGGACTGGACCGGATGAGTGGACAGATTGAATGATGAGATGTTGGAGGGAGATAAGATGTGGATCTGAGATGAGATAAGGGTCGGATCTGAGATCTGGATATGTGGATATGACAAACTCACCCAGTCCACCTGCTCCTGAACCCACTGTCCCTGCACCTACTAACAAATGATCACACACCAAAGATGCTAAAGAAGGCTATGAACTGAGTGATGAGGAATGTGAAAATGCATGGACAAACTCCAAATGTAAGTTTATCTATTCATGTAAGAGAGTGTGTACAAAGCTCACCTGAAACCGTCAGCCAAACAAACCCACCGGCATCAGCAAGCTACTGTCAAAGACCATGAAGATGTGGACAAGGATGGAATTCTCATAGATATTGGCATACTGTCATATCCGCATATCCAGATCTCAGATCCAATCCTTATCTCATCTCAGATCCAATCCACATCTTATCTCCCTCCAACATCTCATCATCCAATCTGTCCATGTCCAGTCCAGTCCACAATTCATCCGAATCCACAACCAGCACTTGTCTCTTTTCGGTAATCCCCTAACTCCGGTATTTCAGTTATCTGTATATCTGTCCTGCTCCCTGATCCATTACCTATGCTTCATTTCCATTTCATTATTTGTGATCCATTTCTACTTACCAATAGACCATCCATATGCTTCATACATAGCCTCGGACTCTGCTGGTTGATCATTCTATTAGATACCTATAGTATATAACCTCCTGTAACTCTCTGTAGTACCTCAGTTCAAATATCAACTTAGTTCTGCTCATTCCTGTCCTCCAGACCTGAGTACTGCTACTCTCATCACCCTCCAAGACTTAGGATTGATTCCTATAGTCTATCTGCATCTGCCTCTGTCTACAACAGCCATTATTGCTAGTTTCTAGTCTGGACTTGTCTGGATTAGTCTTACAATACTTATCCCTCATCTGGAAGTCATCCAGATCCGCTACGCTACCCATCTGACCCCCCGGATGCATTAGTCTTGCCTTCCTGAAATAAGGGGCAATACTTGAGTAAGGGGCACAGCACACGAGCTGAGGCTGAAGCCCTTAGGATCCATTAACCCTTGAGTACAACCTTAACACATACAGCCCATCACTGATGAGTCTGGTCCCACATGTGAGGATAGGACTCATGATATCGACAACTTCTTCAGCAAACCTTTCAAGTGGACTAACACCAATGGCACAATGAAAAAACACCGTAAGTGCAAAGTTTGTCTGTATGTCATTCCATTATCATTTCCATGTGCTGTTGTGTCATTAACATTGCCTAATCACTTATAGGAATAGTTGTATAATTATAAATGAGACCTCAACACTACACTATCATGCTAAAGCTAGATTTGCTGTAAGTTTTCATCTTCATATTATTATCAATGTATATCTAAATAACATGTACAGGGTAAATATCACAAATGGGCCAAAGACAATGCCTTCCTGTCCAAATTGCCAGGTGATATTGCTGCAGAGAAAATGAAAGCTGCACGAGCACAGGAGATACTCAATGTACATATGACTGAGCACAAGTTGTTGGAGCATGTTGTTCCTTACTCCGACCAGCTTTTCAGAAAGGCAGCAATCAAGTGGCTCATTGCTATGGATCAGGTAAACTCTTCATATCATCTGGCTGCATAGTACTAACAATCATTATAGCCCATTCAGGCTCTCAAACACCTGAGATTCAAAGAGATGGTAGACATTGCCTCATGTGCTACACAGGGTGTCAAAATTCCAGGCCACAAAGCAACCTGCACTGAAATTATGCATCTGTTCAAGAGCCATCTCACCAAACTCAGAAAGAAGTTAAATGTACATTGTCATTCTTTGCACTATTGTCTGTTATGATCTAATGTCATATTCTAGAGTGAACCTGTCAGCAGTGCCATCAATGTTACATGTGATGCATGGCAGGCTGACAACACAGATGGCTATTTTGCAGTCACTGGCCACTGGATTGAAGAAAAGATTCTGATGCAGTGGGAACCTGGGAATGCATTGCTTGGTTTTACGAAGCTCAACAACACTCATAATGGCCAGCACCTGGATGGTATGTTATTCAAAGTGCTTGATTGCCTTGGTGTTATACATAAAGTATGTTATATTAATTCCTCTCGAATGCTACAGCTCATGTCTACTTACTAGATTGGTCATGTTACATGTGACAATGCAGCCAACAACAACACTATGCTGCAAGAGTTTGCACAGTTATATGAGGCAAAGTATAAGAAGGTTTTTCCATGGCTTGAGCACAAGATCAAGTAAGTTTGTTTTGTTATTTCATTGATGGAACTGCTAACAATATCAACAGCTGTTTAGTGCATGTTATCAATCTTGGCACACAGCAGCTCATTGGCACATACAGCAAATCTGTTCACTACAATCCTCACAATCCATACAGCCATGAACCAGACATGTCTCTTAAGGTTGATTGGGACGAGATTGGCCTTGTTCGCAGCATTTGTGTGAAAGAACGTTCATCAGCAAAATGAAAAGAATTATACAGGAACATTCAAATCAAAGCCAACATGTCATTGCCAACACAGCTATTGATTGACATGAAAGTCCACTGGTCATCCACCTACATTATGCTGAATTGTGCCAAATTGAACAAGCAGGTGTGTATTTGATATATCGTCATACTTTGTTTATTCTCACTCTTACTCACTGTAGCACATGGATACATTCATGTATGAAATGGGGCATCAAGAACACAGTCTCAGAAAATGAGCCAAAATCAACTTTCTGCAACTGTCAGCTGCTGAATGGACATGAGTTGGTCAACTCATGGACCTTCTTTCATATGCTGATGTTGCCCAGCAAGCTTTCTCGTCTGATCAAGGATCAACTCTCCATCTCACAATACCTGCCCTGGAGATGCTCCACAAATCTTGGTCTTTGCAAGCTGAAAGGCCCAAGTATACTCAGTTCGCTTGTGCACTGAAGGCAGCAGCAACAAAGCTAGATGAGTATTATGAGAGAACTAAAAACTCTCCAGCCTACATCATTACTATGTGTTCGTCATTTTCTCTTTCAGTCAGTGCAACTCTAACATCTGATATAGTACTTGATCCAACAGCAAAATTGCTTACTTCAAAAAGCATTGGCCATCAAACTTGCTTGATGACATGCTTATGTGTGCCAAGAATGTGTTCAAACAGCACTATGACAAGCTACATCAAGATCAGGTGTTGTCACAGCCCACAACTACAAAAAGCAAGGTTAGTGGCCTCAAGAAACTCATTTGGGAGGTCCGGAGTGACTCTGAGGATAATGCCAAGCCAGAACCAGGTGCCACATCTACTAGTGATCCATCGAAACCATGGAGGGCTGAATTTACAAGCTACATTGAAACTATTGAGGTGGTTCAATCAGTGGGTATGACTACTATTCAATGGTGGGGTGTAAGTGCCTTTCATTTGCTTCAAGGTTTCCTGCAGCTGACTGTTGTTTCTGTTAAGATCAATGGCCAGAGATATCCAGTGTGGGCTTCACTGGCAAGAGACTACCTGTCTATTATGGCAGCATCAGTCTTAAGTGAGCAAGCATTCTCACAAGGTGGGATCACAATCAGCAAACAGTGCAATTGGTTGAAAGGACATATTGTTGAGGCACTACAATGTGTCAAGTTGTTAAGGTCACATGCTCAAGGGGGTCGGATCACAAGGGCTTGGCCTCAGCTCATATGCTGTGCCCCTTTCCTGAGTATGTGCCCTTAATTTCCAGGGGCTAGAACAGTTGTCTGGATCTGAAACATGAGATAAATCCGACGGACATCCAGATGTTACTTAGGCAAGCAGATAAGACTAATCTGGACGAAGTCTGGACTAGAAACTAACAGAGGATAGACTACCTTAAGGTAGAGTCAGAAATGTAGTCTAGGATGCAATCCTAAGACTCAGAACATGACAAGAGACTTGTCTCAAGTCCGGAGGACACAGGAATGAGCAGGAACTAAGATGATATTCAAACTGGAGTATTTCTGAGAGTTACAGGAGGTTTATATACTGTAGGTATCATATAGGGATCAATTAGCAAACATAAAGGCTATGTATGAAGCATATGCAAAGTCTATTAGTAAGTAGGATGGATCACAAATAATGAACACTGGAAATGAAATGTATGTAATGGATCAATAATCAGAAGGGAAACATGGTTAACCAGAGTCCGGAGACAGGGGAAGTCTAAATGGGGTTGGGCACTGATATAGGGTTTGGATTCCAGAAGGAAGATAAAGATAGATCAGATCATTTGAGATCCAGATCTCGGATCTGGATATCCAGAGAAGCAGATTTAGAGTTGAGAGTCCAGAATGGCATATGACACAAGTGTTCTCTCTGTAATGATCTTCTATTCTGGGAGCCTGGCCCATCTTCCCTTGTAGAAGAGGAAACTGAAGACTCCAAACACAAGGCTGAGGTGTTAGAAGTCAAAGCAGCAGATGATGAGGGGTGGGATACACTGCTTTTAGGTGACAATGACAATATGTCAGGGTCTGATGTTGATTCAGCATATGATGACTAATGTTAGTATACTTGAATTGAATATAGACTCTTTTCTTTCTTGAAGGCCATGAATGAGCCCAAGCCAGCTGCAGCTTTGGCCTGGCTTTGGCCCATGGCTTGGCCTGAATTTTTTCAAAGCCCAAGCCTCCCCAGGCCAGGCCTAAGCTGCACCTGCACATCACTACTCTTGATTGGCATGACGATATGAGCCTGTTGCCTTGTGATGCTACAGTACAAGTACATATAGGTATTCATGATACTAATAATAACATGAGGTAATGAGTTCAGGTGGTGAACAGGCTACAATTGAGTGATGGGTGGGCAGCAGGCGGGCAATGATCAGGTGATCTATTTTGTTTGCAGACAAAACTTGAAGTTTTGTCATCACATTTTGTCACCAGCATAAGCTTCAAATTCTCAGGGTGTCTTAATTGTCAGACAAAACTTCATACATAAGCAGGCATATAGTCATGTCCCAAATTTCACGTTTTGTCTGATGTTTTGGGCCAGAATTGAACTTCAAATTTGAGCACACAGAAATTCCAATTAAATTTCTTATTGTTATTGACATATGGTCGGTGGGAATATGGTTGCCAATGCTTGAAATTTGTATTTCATTTAAAACACTGCCAAAATTTGAAGTTATGTCTCCATCTTTATGTCAAGTTAAATTTCAAATATTTTCTTCACATTGGGTGACTATCCGTAGGCAAAATAATGCGGAATAGATTATGACGGACTTTGAAATATATTTATGAAAGATAATCTGTACAGAAAACACAACTGTAACACATCTGGAATAAAATAATTCAGTCAAAACTGCAATGGACGATCTACTACAGTATCATAATCTGGTGAATGACGGAGAAGAGACAGCATTTCTTGATGACGAAGAGGATGCAAGGATGTTAGCAGCTACGCTGGTTGCTGGAATAGAGCTTGCTCAACTTGATTGTGTCGAAACCTGGAACCCTAAGCAACTGTACCTTTGTCATGCCCAGCTACTTCCTGACCCACATTGGAATACCCCGTGGCAAGTGTTGTATGCGAGTCAGACTGATCGCGCATTTATTACAACCATGGGCATCGATGTTTGAACATTTGAATTCATCCTTACTTCTGGCTTTGCCAGTCTGTGGTACCATAAGCCCATCACACGTCCTGATACCAACTCGCATGGCATTCCATGCCTGAATCACCATTCACTCGATGCTGGTGGAGCACTTGGCCTCATGCTCCACTATCTCAACTCCACCATGCATGAGACTAGCCTCCAACAAATTTTTGTGTTGATCCCTGCCACTGTTTCTTGCTATCTCACCTCTGGACTGCCCATGCTCTTACAAACTCTACGCTCTATGGTTGATGCCGCAATTCAATGGCCATGGGGACCTGATTTCGAGTGTTGTAGTACCCTCGTAGTTGCGCGTCACTCACACTTGCAAGGTGCTTTTGGAAGCATTGACGGGCTCAAACTCCCTGTGCAGACTTCAGATGATATTGATATTGAAAATGCTACCTACAACAGATGGCTTTCCGAACATTTTATCAGTTCAGTCATAGCATTTTCTGCTGAAGGTGCGTTTTTTGGTCTTTCTCCAACAATTTGTACTCAATAGTTACTTTACAAAGGCGTTGTGATTGCGGCAAGGACAAATGCACCTGGCAGCTGGCACGACTCTCGTCTCGCCTCTCACATCTATACTCAACTTCAACTCAACACACCTCCTGACTACTACATTGTCACAGATACTGCATTCCCTCATGGGACGACTTCCATTGATGGACGCATTCGCGCACCTCTGAAACATGGCAAAGTTTTGTGTGGCTCAGCTGCCGAGATAGAGGAGCATATGGCATTCAACTGCGAACTACTCTCTTACCGTCAAACAGCAGAATGGGGCATGTGAGCTATCCAAGGTGCCTTTGGAAGGCTACGCATACCACTCGACATCACTAATCAAGAAGCTCGCAGTGACCTTATTGAAATCTGTCTTCAGCTGCACAACCTGTGCGCCATATGTGTTGGGATCAATCAGATATGGACTGTGTACATGAAGCATTGGCAGGCTACTGAGGATGATCTAGATGTGTGGCGAGACTTTGAAAACATGCTTTTCAGAGCAGAGGAAGAAGGATCAAGTCTCGTGCTTCCATGTCATATTGGAATTCCAGTAGATACAACATGTAAAACTTGTAATGATGATATCAGATGAGGAATGCAATGCTGGTTTCAATGCAGATGAGATGGATGAGAAGGCAGACAGGAAAGACGTTCAAGATGGAACGAGCGCAAGATGTAGAACGTTGTAGCATCCAACCATCCAGTACCTGCAATGCCGATTTTGATGAAGATGATGAGACGGACGAGAGGTCAGACAAAGGGGAAGACAAAGGAAAAGATGTTCAAGACAGAATGAGCACAGAGATGTAGAACGTTGTAGCATCCAACCATCCAGTACCTGCAATGCCGATTTCAATGGAGATGATGAGACGGACAAGAGGTCAGACAAAGGGGAAGACAAAGGAAAAGACATTCGAGACGGAACAAGCACAAGACGTAGAACGTTGTAGCATCCAACCGTCCAGTACCTGCAATGCCGATTTCAATGGAGATGATGAGACAGACAAGAGGTCAGACAAAGGGGAAGACAAAGGAAAAGACGTTCGAGATGGAACAAGTGCAAGATGTAGAACATTGTAGCATCCAACCGTCCAGTACCTGCAATGCTGATTTCAATGGAGATGATGAGATGGACGAGAAGGCAGACAGGAAAGACATTCAAGATGGAATGAGCGCAAGACGCAGAATGGTGAGAAGCAGCAATCTTTGCATGGTACATTGGTACCCTAGGTACATTGTAAGCATCATAGCACAATCAAATCTCTACTGACCCCTCCTTTTGAATGGGCTTGATAGGCTCATCAGCGAAGTCCTCGAAATATGGGCAATCAGAATACTTGGGACATCCAGAGGGGCCGCATCTTTGAAGGCATGGTGGCTTGGGCCCCTCAGATGCAGTACTTTCACCTTCATCAGTAAGCCACCTAATGGATCCCCCACCCTCAGGGTACCACTCTTGATGCAAATTCTTGCGTTTGGGCATCCGAACATGCTGATGGCGCGTGGATCTGCTCATCTGCATCATCTCGATGCAAAGCTCGGCCTGATCACGTTCGCGTTCAATGTCGTACATGCGAGCACGCAAATTGAAGAGTTGGCCATGCAGGGTTTCTGTAGTGGCTTGGGAATCACGGAGCTGCTGACTTTGGGTAAGTAGTTGCGTGGTGGCAAGGCTGCAATTGGCATGATCTTCATCATGGTTGCGTTGGGTGGCTGGGTCAAATGTGGTGGAAAGTCGAGTGAGTAAATCTGTAGCTGCCGCTCCTTGAGTATTGCAACGTGGAGCTGGGGCATCTGTACGAGGAGTGGAGTGGGCAATCGCTGTATGCTGAATTGGGGGGGAGGTATGCTCATCCTGGTTCTGGTCAGAGACGACAGAGTGACTGTCACCATCTTCCATGGCGTCATAATCCGTGTCATGCAGGTCACAGGTTCCTGTGCACTCGTTAATGAGTTGTTTGATGTGATGGGCACATGTGACTTCCAGAGGGCACACACCATCTCCAGTCGGCTTCGTAGTCTTGACCAACTGTAGTTCTACTTGTGAGCAATGTCACAGTCATGAGACAAGTTGAATCTTACCTGTTTGAACTTTGTTTTGAGTGAAGTGAGTTTGCATTCAGGCCGGTGGTTCACCTTGGCCCATTGGCTGAACTTAACTTGAACAGTCTGCCACCCGCATTGACTGAGAGGGAGCTCATCATGGACTACGTCGAGGAGACTTTTAACATCCAAGGCAGTATAATTGTTGGACCCCTGAGGGCGGCCTCGCCTTGCTCATGCTTCCGCTTCATCATCCTTGTCTCTGTCCTCTCAAGAATGCTTCTTTGGGTTAGCGTATCCAGCATTCTTATTCTCCTTGCCTTTGCCCCTTGGGGCTTTGGCCTTGCGACGAGCGCCTGCTGTTTTGGTGGCTGGAGTATAGCCACAGGCCTCCGCAATACTGGCAGGGTGAATCAAGTCCATATCATCAGAGTGAGGTAGGGGGAGGAGCGCAGGGTTAGCTATATTCGTGGTTGGCACCTCACGTAGAGCAGGGCGAGAACTGGATGCCAGCAGGGGTGGAGGTGTGCCTTCATGGGACTGGAAGGCTGGAGTGAGTGTGTAGGTAGAAGCAGGCTGCATGTATATAGTTAGTTGAGTCAAAAACATCATATGATACTCGACATACCTGATAACCCGGACCGTCACCATGTTCGAACTGAAAGGACTGATCAGTTGTAAGAGTCTATAGTAAGTCGAGTATCAGCCACCAGTAAACAATCATTTGATAAGACTTACTTTGCAGATGCCTGGATGAGACACCCAAGTGCCAAAATTATCGCGGGCGAATGCATTTCCAGCATGGTCATAGCGTAATTTGGGGTAAGATGGGGTACTACCAGGAGGTATCATCATGGATTGTGGAGGGGGAATGTCAGACATTGCACACTGTAGTTTTAATGAAAATAGTGCTTACCTTGTTGTCCTCCAATGCATGCTTTTATACATCTCAAAAACCTGAACTGTCAGATGCATAAATGATTCTAGACGTTTGTAGTTAGTAGAACAGGCCCTGTGGTGGTCGCACAAATACGTTAGTACACACATGGAATAAAGTATTTAATGACAAAAAAACAGTCGCGGTAACTTGGGGAACAAATGGTTTTTGCAACTCTAGACTTATAGGGAGAGAATGGTGTCAGCACTGCTCACCTCGTACCCTGGCCGGTCACAGTGGTATGTGTTGGCGTCGTCTGCTGATAGTAATCTTAAAACTTCAGCTGAAAACTTCACCAGGGAGCTCAGGGATTGGACTGCGTATATTGGAAAATGTTTGGACCAGGTAGCGACTATTGCCATGCTGAACATGTGTCAGGCGGGGACCTTCAAGTATGATTAGTCAGTGGATAGCTTGGGCGTAGTGGCCCAAAACGGTTTTAATCTGTCGTTTATAATCCGGAATAATCTGTAAGGGGGGGGGGCCCCCCCCTTCTAGATTTAGAGTTTGTAAGGGGGTCAGAAAATAATGTTTTGCAAATTCGACGCAAATGGACAGCGGCATCGCGGCACAATTTCCTTAAATGGTCTTTTTTATTCTATCTTATTTTATTCCGCAATATTTCAGCCTACGGATAGTCACCCATTTGGTACAACATAAAGGCATCTCCTAAATATCGATAACCCCGATGTGAAGGTGGCTTATTCGCGTTTCAAGAGGCATCAAACTTTGAGCTTCAGAATCACAGAAGCTTCGGTTAGGCACATTTTATTGACTTCTGTTCGCATCCTCTATCTTGCCTATCATGGCTTCAGATCGAGCACGCGGATGTGAACGTCTGAGGTATCAAGTCCAATATACACTGATTAAATAGAGAAAACGGGTCTTGTTAGAGGTAAACGAGACTGAAACATACATAATGGTACACCTGGCACTGGCCAAAGCAGTCAATGGAGTCACAAGTACAAAAGGTGAATCAACATATAAGAGCGCATAAAGCACGAGTATGAGACAATAGAGTGAACATACGAGACAAGGGTATAAGGTTTGATGGCTTAGTGCGTGCTTGTTATTCCAACAGGCGCTCTTCTATCTTCACCTTATTGGCATCCATTACATACAGTTAGTGTACAGTGCGCCACCTGACCGAGACCGTGTACCACCTCTGGATGGAGTATTCGCCTGACGATGTCGCAGCAGCGAGGAGCGTACAGTTCACTAAGCACCTTGTCAATGTGAGGGCGAGTAATACTTGACAATTCATGTTCTATCAGTACATATACAGTGCGTACCGCCGCACCTGCAAGTTTACCACGTATTCTTTACCCTAACACAGTTTAGCGTCGATGGCTACATTCTGGGTAGGCTTATCCTAATCCATTTACGTTCGCCGTTAAACTCGCTTGTCCAGACCTATGACTATGCATGTTCACTTCATGAAGAGGTATACACCCATTCCGTGATACATCCCGGTTTTGATGTCCACATCATGCTGTACAAAGCGGACATATTTAGTTGGGTCGCGCTGGAACAGGGTAAAAGGCCTGTATATTGTTACACGATACCTCCCCTTTATCCTTCTCATCACCAGTCTATATCGTGCGTTCCGCTCCTGCACAGTGTCCCGATGGTGAATTATCACTTGTTCTTCAGTGAACTTTACCCCGAATGAGAACCCAGGTGTAGGTGATGCGGTAGAGAGTTAATGAGAACAAATGACTTACTGCATGATTTCGCCAGAAATGCCAGATGTTTGACAATATTGACACAGGTACGTACATGGTACATTCATGTATACACGTCCACGCCGAGGGCTACTACTTTCCCATCACAGGTCTTGCTATAGTGTCAGGCGTTTTCTCCGAGGGTATGTCCTTCCTTCCCAAGATACATATGTTCCTGATCTGATTCATCCAGGCTTTTTTGTCATCAGAACATGGGTCCTCTGGGACAACGATAGAAACTTGCTCGTAGCCATCCTAGTTACCGCACTCGTGAGTTCCAAATCCACTTGTTCACACCAAAGCTGGCTGTAGATCCCTCGGCCAGACTTTTATGGGAGCATCGATCGGCATTCTCTTCGCCACTAATGTTTCCGCAGCATGTGCGTGCTCTTACCCCTCTCCTGGCATTCCGCTACCATTCAACAATTCTGTCAACTTCCACAGATGTAATTAGTGCAATCCCGGGCATCACAGGGTGCTACCAGAGTTCGACCAGTTTCCAACTCTTTGTACCATTTCTTCTCCTTTGCGTGTTCGAATTGGGTGGGTGACCAGGAGCATATATGTGTCCAAACACGCGCTGACAGATGTTCTCCCCAGGACTCATGATTCTCACAATCATCCGCGCCATACAGAGCTGGCGGGAAAACCAAAACCGTCTGTACGTCGCCCTGGTGAAACATAACATATTCTATTATACATGTGGTTTTTGTGAGTCAATACTCACATGCGCCGTTTTTCCGTGCTCATCCATGATCACTCTCTTTCCTGAAGTGTTCTCAGTGGCGAACATATTCACATCGCTGCTCCTCCAGGTGCGTGAATGTTCCAAATGCCTTTTACAATCTAGCCGTTGACATTCTGCACCCCAGTACTCCTACCACACCATGTTGTATGAGTATGCACCTGCATATCCTGCTGCGTATTCCTACTGATATCCAAACTCACACCCACGTACAGTTTCCAGTTCATTATCCTCGCAATCTTTGCCACGCGCATGCACCGCGATCTCTGGCTGTCTGTAAACTCTGTAGACCAACATGCATATGACTATAGCGCCCTTGTGTGTATTCCAATGTCCGACATGGCACCTGTAAATTCTACGGCATGATGTCTTATCCTGTGGCTTATTCGGTGTCTTGTGGAGCGAGGCTTGGACTGTACGAGGTGACTGGTAGGGGTGGGTTTGATAGAGTATGCTATATGCTTAACTTATAGGATGAGTCTTGCGGGGCGGGGGAGCATTTAGGTGGCCTTGGTCTATTTGACTTTCATAGTTCCCACTTCAAACTGCGGCGGATCCAGGATTTGAGCGTGCTAGAGCCGGATGCACAGCCTGACAGTAATGAGCACAATTGTGGTACAGGTCCACCAAGCTCCACGGATTAACGAAATGTCCTGATATGACGGGATGACATCCGGAACCATAATGCATCTATGCCGCCGACAAATTTGTCTCACTCGACTAGATAAATTATTTGCACCACCTCAACCTCACAATTATATTTGAACCCTGATGTCGCTAAACAACTGCCAAAACCTTTGACGTGACATCATCATCATAGCAGATGTTGCGGGCGGAGTTTGAAGTTTCGTAGTGTGCTACCCATCCGAGCGCGTGAACGTTGAATCAGATATTATCATGAATGAAATGCAAAATCACAATACTTCTTTCTCCTTCAATCGTTCGCTTCGCCCTGGCATTATATGATAGCCCCGTACTGTACACTACGCGCTCATCGTGGACTACGCTCCCGCCCGCTCTCTCGTTGTTCACTGCGTCCCATAGCACCTGATATTTCAGAGCCACAGAACCTTGCAGCCGTTTTGCAACTCATTGCGTTGAACTCGTTCTGTCAACCACTTTTTGCAAGGAAGTCGCCATGAAATTAGGCTGGATCTATGATAAGCGTCACTGGTGCGTCATACGATTGCAGAACTACTGCCAGTGGCTGAATTCGCATACGAGATGTTCTGCTGGGGAAACCGATGTGTCGACCGCCAATGGACATGACACCAGCTGGACCACTGCGTCACCCTCTTTTTTATGATTTCTCATAGATGCGGTACATAACGAAAACTGCTACAACTTGACTATGGACGAGGCTCTGGACTTCAAACTTCGTATGCTTGTGAGTGACTACCTTTACCACAACGCCTTGACTGGGCTTCCCTAAAGAGATCTCGCATTAACTCTAATTCGTCTATAGTCTTCTCCGATAGCTTCTGATCTCTCACTGTGGAGACCATGGTGCTGTTGGCGACGATGTACACCCTCTGATCGGGTAAATTCGCCTCCTGAAGGTTGCACCTCACGGTTGCGCGAGTTTCAGCGATGTACTGCTCGCGTGCGGAGCTATACAATGCATTGCGACGCGAGTGATTTTCATCTTCATCTTCATCGCTGTCGTAACCCGATTCCTTGATGATGTTTCTGATATGTGAGTCTGATTTCGACCGCACGATATAAGTCGGAATATTAAGGCGCCGGCAATTAACCAGCATGGCAAGGTCAGTCATTGTAAAGCGGCTGTCGAAAAGGACGATAATGCAGTCGAAAACATAGAGTCCGTGTGCGGTGAAATATTGCCAATCCGGTGTGTTCAGCGTGCCGGACCCTGGGACATCATACCAAACGAACGGGTTATGAGGGCTTGGATCTGGGAATCTAGTGATATCCGTGGTGGTCTCAACCACGCCCGTTGGTGCAGCCCCCTGATCTCTGTTTCGAAGGCCTCGAAAGGCATTGATCAGCGACGACTTTCCCGCACCGGAAACCCCTGTCATTGCGAAATGGAATAGCCCCTCTTGGTATTGGACTCTGTGCTTCGCTATTTGTATCTCCTTATCACTGGGGATGCTCACGAGCTGGAACGCGCTGTGTTTCTCCAAGGTCTGCGAGTCCTCCTTCCCATTCATGACATTTTCAGTTATTGGAACATCTGCTGCACCCTCGAGTTGAGCCCAAATGCAAGTGTGCAACGGATGTTTTCTTGCCTTTATTGTTCGACTTCGTGGCCGAAATCCCTTCTTCCTTCGTCTTCATCTGGAGTACAGCAGCGCAACGCTCTGGCGTTTCATAAAGACGCCTACGCGGGGCTTCTTCTGAAGTATGTAATCCCGCCTCGCTCGGCCTCTGCCACACATCTGTTTGTACAGAGTAAAATCCTTCAACGTTTTCTCCAGTGGCGTGTGGAGCTTGGGCGGCTAGGAGTTCATCTATTTCTTCCTCTCTGATATCTTCTTCGGTGTCTATAGCAATACGATCTTCTTCTGGCCATTCTTCGCCCTGCCACCCTGCCATTGATGTCCCACTAGCTTGTCGCCAAGGATGCGAGTTTCTGGCCTGTCTCAGGTCGGCAAAAATGGGATTTTCGAAGATATCCGATGTCCGAATTTCATCGACGATTGTAAGAACGATGCCAGCGATCATCCGAAGACTTTGCAGTCTGAGGGGGGAGGACATCGACGTGCCCATTTTTCACGCTAAAAGTTAGAGTTCCGTATCTTGAAGGGAAGGTAGCAAAGGTGGGTCATCTTCCACTGTCGCAGAAGTTGGTGGCTTATATGCATCTTGAAACGCCGTGTTGCCTCGAGGACCAAATTGCCAATATACTAGATGTCTCATGGCCGATCGTCTCTTCTTTAGAGGGCAGTTGTGGAGACTATCATACAGCATCAAGCCCACGAGGTTCTAACTTTCGCTTCTCAGTCCAAACCAGGGCATTGCGCAGGTGGATTTCTATTTTTGTACTCAAATAGGGTACGATCAATATACATACGCGCAAAGCTAGTGCCTAATAAGAACGATAGACATTAGACCGGCTAATGACATTGTAAGGTAGGCACAATGGAGTGTCGTGAATCGTATAGGGGATGCTAGTGTCTTGAAAATTAAAGATATATATTTGTGCTATTGGGTCGTAGGGGAAAGGAGAGCATCGGAGAGCATCATTCCATGTCAGCGACGTAGAGCTCAGGGACCCAAACATTCCTGTAATAATGGGCCGATAGGATGTACACCTTGGACGGATGAACTTTGTTTTTGCTAAATGCCCAATCTTCCCAACCACGCGCAACGGGCTTGTTCTAATGATCGACGAGTTAGTAGCCTTGTGTCGATTTTAAGATTACACATACCTTTGCACAGTTGTAAAGATCTTGAATCAGCTCGGCAATAACTCTAGCGAATCCTTGACGAGTCATCGGTAAGTTGCCATTCATATATGTGCTAAAGCGACGACGAGATGCATCCGAAGAACGGTTGGGTACGTATCCGGGCCACTGCGTCAATTGGTTAACATACATACACTATTATATCAGAGACAGGCGATGCTTACATTTAGTGCCAGAGTAGTTGTTCGCCAGCCGTGATGAGCGAATACCACGTCAGTCGGACAATCAACAACTGTTTGTTTCAGAATATCTGACACGTTCACACCGCACCAATTCCTAACGCTAAAATGGATGCCGGGGAAGCTCTGCTGAGCAGGAGTGAATTCCCGCAAGCGTAGAACACGCTTCGCTATTTTTCCATCGCTGGCGCGCCAATATGGTGGCATCTCGGCACCTATCGTCAAGGGGTGAGGGGCAGGATTGGCTTGCCAAGCATAGTACTAATATAATTTCTGCGTAAGACAAAAACGGGGGAAGAACGTGGAGGCTCACCCCAGGAGACCCGGCTCCACCAGCGTTCACAATCATTTGGTTGGGTTGCATGTATGCCATACTGGACTGATTGAAGTTAAAATAGAAAACCGGCGCTGCACAATATTTGAGATGTTCCAGTTGATGAGGTGCCCATCCCAAACACTCGCGTGTTTTATACTGCCCATAGCTTCAACATGGTCCACAAAGCGGTGCGTGTCATGAAGCGCTAGTCGTCTGGGGCCAAAGCGACCACTCAATGTTATTCTCGGTGCAATAAGTTGTAAATCATGAAGCGGGATACCAACCATTCAACAACATAGATCGTGACACAATGAACGTAATTTTTCTCTATTAAACGGCGGCGTCACCAAACGTGTCACTAGGAGACTTTGAGACAAAGTGTCTTTGATGCATGTGTAGCGCGACGTGAGACCTGTCGACATTCAGCGTCTGTCAGCAAAACATTATCCTTAGAGTAATTATGTGTCTGTATCCCTATGGAGTCTGACGGAAACCAAAGCTCACCAACTGCGGGTAGTCCAGTAATTAGAAACAAATGGTCCTTAATGCGAATGGCAGCAGACCGTAAAGGCACTGACAACAACAAATATGAAACTCGAAGAACAGGGTGGGGATTAATATGGGAGATTTCACGAGACAGCTTGGATAATTACCAATGTCCGTCTCCGACAACTGCCACAAGGTGAGAGGCATACCAAGATATTGGTATAGAAAATGCCGTGTGTTAGTCTAGTCATCCTTGGTGACTACACAAGGAGTGTTCGTTGCAACAAGCATACAGAGGTCACATTCATGGGTGATAGGCCTAGGGTCGATGTAGTGGGCACTAGTTGTTGAACATTGTGGCGTGAACCTGTGTTCTGATTAAATCTGAAATTGCCAAAAAAGGGCATATAGTGTGGTTTAGTCTGAGCGACAAAGCACAACTTGAAGTACTACATATATATCTGTTTGCTATCGTGTACGGTACCGAGCTCGGGAGTGAAGCTAGTGAAACTTTGAAGGCGCAGGTGATACCCGCTTCTTGCTTGGTGCCGTACCCTAGCATCGATTTTTTGCCTACCGATCACTGCCTGTCAAAGATGCCACCTTCACGCATATAGGAGTTGAGTGGTCCATAGACTCGTGGCCAGCCTGCCCGTCTGCATTTATCGATGGTTTGCCTTAGACGGCTGGTCACGAGTCCAGGTTCGAGAGTGGAGGGACTTTGACTCTCTAACCTGCAAACGCGGCAGGAAAGTCCTTTGTGCATTTTCTCATATTAATCGTCACTGCATACAGGTGTATGTCATGTGTCCTGCTGCATTACTTATACATGTATTATGTGTTATAAGCGTGAATTCGACTCGACGAATCCAACAATACTACTACCTCCGGAGTACATAAAACTCCGGAAACCACATACCAGCGTTGGAATGTAAGGACATGAGCATGATATTTCGTAAGCGGACTCGTGAACAGAGGGCCCAAGGGCCAAATTCGACCGAAGGTGATATTTTCTGTGGACTTGGTTATTTCTGACAAAAGCCGATTTTTAAGGATATCACCCACTGATACAGATAAGTAAAAATTATGCAACGCAGTGCATAGTGCAACTGCGAGTTCCTGTCTGGTATTCGGATTGACTGTAATGTGTCTGGAGGTATGAACATCCGAAGAATCATAACCAGGCCACTAAGATTCAAATATCAGGTCTTGATCAAATTAGAACACACATTGAGTATACCTGGAAGACTATTTTGAGGAACCCAGCCTTAAAATCAAGTTCTGGATTGTCTTGAACACATTCACCATTCAAGACATTCTTGACCGAGACGCCAGGATTGCCATTATCATAAAACAGAATTGTGTGATGGCATGAATGAGATGGGGATGGGGATGGGGATGGGGCTGGAACACGATGTGCTGTTGATCCATCCGGTAGCGTAAAACGTTCAGTTGAACGTTGCTTCGTAGGTGAGGAGGGCGGAGTGCTCCGTTTAATCGATGACTATCGGGTTACAGATGAATATGTGTTGTCATGCTGAGGTATTTCCACTGAGACATACGGATGAAGATTCCCCAAAGGACTGGCCAGAACGCCTTTTCTGAGGTGCCATCGGGTAGGTCAAGCGTACGGGCAATGCAATTATGCTGTATAGCTGAAAGATTTGGACATCCAGCTTTGAAAAGAGCTGTATCATCATACCTCCCTGGTCTTTTATAAGGATCGCATGGCTAGCAGGTGTTATAGGCAAATGACAGGGGCAGAACATGTCTCCATGATATGGCATTGTGTCCGAGTCTGGTCAGTCTGGCCATTGACGCGGCCAAGTTGGAAGGCCTCCTGGTTATTCTTTTGATGTGGCGCCAGCCGACCACTCATAAATGAGATCATGTCCTTCGTTAACGTACCTCAAAGAAATGGCAGGCTTGCCAGAGTGGCACGGTCAGCATTGCTGTGGTTCATAATAATTCCTAGTCAGCGAAAAATCTGAATATTGTTCAGCGGCCTGTAATCTTGGCCTGAAGGATAGGTGTGAGCCGACAGAAATTCCTTTCCCGAAAAACTCAGTGAGGAGCAAAGGCCAAACGGCGGCGGCAGGTACGCCAGGGCTAGTATTAAGTACTCTGAAGTACAGTGGTAGGTGGCCAGCGTGAACGTTGGAAGTTCAAATTGAACCCACAATATCACGTGGCCTCGGCAACAGGGCCGGGCCAATATTGGCCTGGCCTTTGGCACGAAATTTGGCTTATCAAGCGTCAATGCATCAACCCGGGGGCATCGCGATCTCGTTCATTACAATCAACATATTGTTGTCAAGCTGTGGTGGATAAATACTACAATTATTTACGCAGAGGCGGAGGCGCCTAAGCAGCCTAAGCGCTGCTTTTCTCGTCGACTTCATGATATGACGTTTGTGATGCGTTGTCTGCCACAGCATCATCTCTTCCACCTCCTTCTTCGAAAGCGGTCTTGTGTTTCTCGAAATGCGAGCTGTGATTTCTAAAGGAAGGTGAGCGTCTGTATGTCCAAGCACACGCGGGAGACTTACTCGGGCCCAACGATCGTGACAACGACCACGAATGCAGCAACGACCCCAATGAAGATGGCTTGCACCTGATCAAGCGATGAGTAAGACCGCGCGGAAGTGGAACTTTGTTACACACCGTTGCATAGTTTGGCTCCTGAGTAGGAACTCCGTCCTTAATGATTGTTGTCTTCAAATTAGCCCCACCAGCTAATATACATTAAGAACTTCGTTAATGGAATTAATTGTGACTATCCACTCACTGGCTTCAATCTGTGCTGATGCTGCCGATATCATCTGCCGCGAACATATTAACCACAAACATGGCACGATATTCATTCGACCTACGTTGCCGATCTGGTAAGCAACACCAGGAAATGTTGCTCTGAAAGCTGGCGGCGACATCTCGGCCAGTTGGATCGGGATCTAGTATATTTATTTTTGGGCCGGGTTCACAACAAGAGTAGGAGGGTACGTACGACACCCCATGCGCCCTGAACACCAACTTGGATACAGAATGCTCCAGCAGAGAGGGCAGAGAATGAGGAGGGTAGAACCCATAATGGAATGAACGCTGCGAGAGAACATCAGTTTTGTTCAATATCACCAGAATTAGTGCTTACCTCCGATGAGAAGTGTAAAAATTCTGATGGAATTTGAGTAAAATCATAAAACCATCATCTATCAAAGGCACATACACGATCGTCAGACGGCGTCCAATGTACTGGCTGGCCCATCCAGCAATAACACCACCGCTATATGATCCTCAGAACTTGAAATGCATACGGAACCAATTGACAACTCACGCAACTGCACCCTATTGGTGTATATTAAGAATTTGCACACAGGTAATTTTGTAAGACTTACACAGTTGCCGATAATGGTCGCAACAGTAGCATCGTGAGCACTAAAACCCTTAGTAGTCTCGAGGTATGTGGGATACAAATCCTGAACGTGTACGTCATTATGGGCTCGCCCCGTGAATTTGTATACACGAGATACGCCTACCTGGGAACCGTGAGACAAAAAGTTGAATCCTGTACAAGAACGTTGATATGTTGATCGTTAGGGACAAGAGAAGACTCGCCTGTCATTAAGAGCACAGCATAAATGCATAGGAGCCAATGACGCTTAAGCATCTCCTTCGTTTCTTTAATGAAAATCTTGGTTTTCTGCGAGGTATTGGTCCCTCTCGCTATCTCTTGTTCTTTGGCGCGCAGGAAGAACGCGCTCTCTGGGACAAGAACACGAATGGCTGCAGCAAAAAAGCTGATGCCTGCTCCGGTCCAAAAAAGTACCCGCCATCCGTGCTGGGCTACCAAGGTCAGATTGATGACGGCTGCAATCAGGTATCCGACAGCATAGCCTTCCTGCAAAACCCCGCTTGCAATCCCACGAAGTTCAACGGGCAAATTCTCAAGAGCTGAGGCTGACGAAAGTCCCCATATTCCACCCATTGCAATACCGAATAGGGCACGAACGCCGAGGAATTCTGAAAACGTGTTGACAAAGCCAGTTCCGAGCTCAAGGATACAGCATAGAAGGAGATTGAAAATCAATGGCCACTTGCGGCCAAATCGGTCAGATAAGATACCGAAAATAATCTATGAAACGATAAGTTTGGTTAGTAAGAAACAGCAGGAATAATGCTTACAGCGCCGACAGGCCGGAACAAGAGAGTCAACGTAATGGCAGTCGTCTGAGACCGCGCTGTACGTTAGTGCGCAACCAGCGAGGGAAGGACAAAAACAGCGTACGATTTGAGCTGTCGACTTATGAAATTGTGTCGCCAAGGGAGATACCGTGAGCGATACCGCGAAGAAATCAATAGCGTCGCATGTCCAGGCAAGCCAGCTAGTGCAACATGTGGTTAAAATGATAGCACTAGCGATGCGAAAGATGACACTGACCCAGACCAGAACTGAGCCCACTGCACCCATGTGAGATTCTTCAACGCAACAACCACACTACCAGGGGCACGCCTTTCTCGACGCGGGATGAGCTCGCGCAAAAATCTTGGTGCCATGATGGGGGAGGCAATGGAGGAGATGGCGATTGATCGAGGAGAGGTCGGCCTTAGGACATGTGTCAGTATGATATTACTTTATATTGAGAACGAGATCAGGAACATTTTAGCCTGTCAGGCACTGCCTAAAGTAACATAACTTATAAGTATATATCTGAGGCGGGGTGCCAAAATCAAGTACTCACGCGCACGCATCATCTCATCAAATCCTTCCCCGCACAAAATGGAGCTACTACTAACTCTCATACTTCCTCAGCTGACGGTGCCAGCTAAGTGCCAGCTAGTGCCACCAGTGCCTTGGGGCCCCTACCTCGAATCATCGTGATGTTGTAGATCCCCAGTTACTATGTGTCCGCTAAGCACAGGCCTCCAGGCTGCACTGCACGGTGCGAAAGGTTGGCCCAAACTTAACCCATTGGGCCCAAGCAACGGCTACGATAGCCGACACATCATGGCAGACGCAAGGTGATCTACTAGTAGACAAGCGGGAATAAGTAGGATGAGTTACGTCCTCGTTGCAATTAAGGAACGTGAAACTTCATCGACATCGATGGGCCGGCTGCAGACGACTCCCTCATATCGATCATCAATGCTAATGACATCGGGAGCATGTGCCGCACTACTAGACTAGTCACAACTCGGATAAGTCTGCAATTAATTAATTTCGAATTCGGTCCGCAAGCCTTCTCTCCATTACATAATCGTATGTACTCTCAATGGAAATGCTACATAGCAACGAATGATGGGCCACTATTACATATACACAATCAAATCGATTCTTGGTCTCTTTGTTATTTATAAGTCACCGTCATGATACACGATGCAGGGCTCAAATCTACATACAGAAGAGGTTTATATCGAAAGGCGTGTTTGTTATGTATGCAAATGATTTCAAATTGTTCTCAAACTGCGCCAAGCACCCGCGCTCACGGAGGAGGTTGACCACACACGGAATGCATCCGTGGAACACCCGTCACTCGATAGCGACACGCCGCATGTACTTATCATATACTTAGTTCAGCGCCTCGACTTCTTGCCCCTTCTCGTCGTTTTTTTATCCTTATCATCTCCACCTTCCGCTTTCCGCTTTTTGCCAGCAGTAGGTTCGGTCGTCTTCACACTAATAACAGTGGCTCCTTCTCCCTTAGCAAGCCTCGATACTTGCGCCTCGGCGACACTCCAATCCGCGCTGGCATCGTTAATAGCATACCTGTGAAGCACGACCATAAGTCACGTTATAGATGCTCTAGGCCCCGTCGATCCATGTCCACGGCAAATGGAGGATGCAATCGCACTCACTTGCTCAGATCCAGGGAGTCGATCATCTCGCGTTGCTTTTCGCGAAGTGCTTTTGTTGCTTCATCGCCAGCCTCGTTTAACTCGTCGTCGATATGTGTTTCAATAGGTTTCCACTGTGCAGGCTCGCCACCATCCCCAACACGTGAAGTCGTGGTTGGAAGGGCCAACGGAATATCGGCGCCAATCGAAGCCTTCTGGATGTCGACAAGATGCTTTGTGATCTTGCGGATAACCTTCACAAACAAAGCGAGTGCCTGTGATACCGGCAGCGATAGCTCACCCTGCAGAATCACGCCCTTCAGTATCACCCAATGCGTATGATGAAATTATATACCTCGACCTCCTCGATGGTCTTTCGTTGAAGACCGAGACCAAGAAGGATGGAGGCCTGAACCGCGCTCAGCCTCACGTCATCTCCTAACCGTCCTTCGAAATACAGAGAAGCTACTATTGGGAGGAGATCGAGGACAACGTGATAGTCAAGCATATTATTGGCATATGACTCTAGACGCTTTAGGTCAAATGGTGACATGAGGATGGAGAGCTCTGACGATTCAACAGCTAGAAGTAATGTCCGTCAACAAACCTTAGAAAGCTCTTGGAAACAATTTTACCTCGCGATTTCTTCCCATCAAGCTTCTTCACACCGATATCCGCAGCCTCGAGTACGCTTAGCGCAGTGACGCTGTTGAACTCACGGAACTTGAAAGAAAGCAGAGATAGGAACCGCCGCCTGAAATCTACGCCACATTTTGAATGAGTTCCGAATGGATAATCAGAAAACGCACCTTTCGAAAACTCGCCCATCCACTCAAGTTCGCCATCGATCGAACTGTCGAGTCCCCGGACCATAACGCATGTATGCTCTCCCGTGAGCTCGCTTTGTGTTTGACGGATGTATAATGGTACATATCCAGCTCTTTTCCAGAAGCTGAAATCGATGATTAATAGGAATTGTTGAATTAATGGAAAGTATATCACCGAAGAAGTTGAGGCGTTAGGCCATATGAGACCCCAAGGTAATCCAAAGATTCAGGTTTCCTTTCTGATAACCTCTGGAGAAGTGGGGGCATCGCCTCAGGAGCACGCACTGTGGGGTGATCCGTTTTAAGATCCGTTTCCTTCGCCGGGTGCGCGTCATTTCACAAATATCTGACACGGATGTTATACTCACCGGATCTAGGGCTGCTGCATCTGGATAGGAGGGTTCGGCGGGAGTAGCTTCATCCAGGTTAAAGTACTCTCCGCTGTAGAAAGAATTTAGCGCTTTCAGAGCCCGGGATCCGTACCCCATCTGATGGGCCAATAAATTACAAGCTAAAATACCTTGTGGATAACTCACATTTGCATAATCGGGATGGGTTGCGATCCGTACAATCCGGGCACCAGAGAGGAGGGCAAATTTGCTTTCTTGGAACTGCTGGGAGACAAGCCAAGGGATCATGTCACCTCCTGCTCGCAAACCGCGGCTCAGGCCATCCATGATGGCGGCTTTGCTGATATTCCCCTCCAGTGCGACTTGCAGTACGACAAGTGGCTCCGGAAGATGAGACTCGTCGTCTGCTATTGGGGGTAGGAGCACGAAAAGGTGATGTGCTGGGGCGTCCGACATCAACTGGAGGTCGTTTGGTTGGTTCTTATAGTGACTGGCAACATACAACGCCATCATGCGCTGCAAGAACATCTCTGATGCGGGGTGATAGCTAAAGAGCGTATCTCGGCTGACATAGTACAGTTCGCATGAAGAAGGGTGCGGGCAGCCCTGTTGAGCGGCCTTGGGTACGATGGCCGCATCCAAGCAGAGAAGGCCATTCAGCCATTTTTCGATGCGATCGCCAGCAGAGTATCGGATAGGTGTTTCAAGCTTGATTTCACGAAGGGTTCGAACTTTAGGGGCGGCGGAGCGCGTGGGCTTTTTGGAAGTTGAGGCAGTAGCACCATCTTCAACAGGCGCAGTAGCATCTTTTGTGAGTGAAGGTCGGGTACTTTCGCGGAGTTGTTGAATAAGTTTGAGAGAAAGAGAGCGCCCTGTGCCTTCGTATCCGTTGATTGTCGAGGCCATGAAAACAAGGTACGGGCCCAGGAGGTTGCGGACAAGGGGAAGGGGGATGGCGGCTGCCTCATCGATGACAACTAGCTCGGCCTGACCAAGAACGTGTGCATCCTCAGGTTGGATGTACTGAGAATTTGTTTGTCAGAATGTGCACGCGAGTGCCGAGACGGAAGTACACACCTGAATGGTCTGACGATGCTGACGGAACACATTTACACGGACGATGGCCTTATTAAACTCCGGATTCGTGCTCTGTGCAATGTCGTAGTCCAAGTGCTCCTCGTAACCGAGAGCATCCATGCCCTTGAAGATGAATTCGAAAAGTGTATTCAAGTTTTCTGGACTGGGACTCGTAATAAAAATATTTGAGTATCCATGAGCGAGAGCGGCAGCGATTGCCAAGCCTAGCGCCGCAGATTTACCACGACCTCGAGCTGCGGTGAGCGTGACGGTGGATGAGAGTGTCTTCTCGGCAATCGCATCAACAAAGGTTAGAACAGCTCGAGCCTGGTCTATGGTTTTTGCAAGTTTGACGAGCTCGCCCACAGGTTTTGTGTCTGCCAGACTATCCTTGAGGTTTTTGAGCTCGGAGTCCACCTTACCCTTCCCGCGTTCCTCTTCAATCGGGGTGATATCCTTGGCTTTAGATATGGGCAAGACATTCAGTTCATCATCCAAAACCAAGCAGTCCGAGCAAGATCCCAGGGAGAGAATGAACCGTTCGTTAAATCGCGCAACTACCGAATCATGAGACGAGGTTCTGTACCTGGCATGTACATCCTGCCAAACGAATCAGTAAGCGACCCTCTGGATAAGATGGTGATACCGCACCATGGTAAGAGTGTACAATTGCCTCAAAGATGACATTGTTTTCAGGAGAAGTACCACTAGTCCACCGCCTTCTACCGTCTCAATAGTGCGTGCCAAGAGATTGGGTGTGATTGCCTCAAAATCTTGCAGGATACACATGCCATAGGTGTTTCCCAATATACGGTGTGATTCTTTATAATAGCTAGAGGACTATAAGTTTGCTTCTGGATAATTTATTGATGTTCACGCACGTATAACGGATATCTGTGACAGTCACAAAAATCTCGAATGGATTTTGCTCGTTTGGCTCCCGCACACCTCTCTTCACGTCCCGCTTAATTTTCGCCTCTCGCTTTTTTCGTGCCCTACAGATCATCTTAGGTCTCTTCGCAAAGTAACATCATGTCACTCACGCGGTAAAACCAAGATCCTTTTTATAGCACCATAGTACTGAAGGGCGTGCCGACACACGCGCCTGTGAAAGCAAAAAGTGGAGATTCACGATCTAGAATAGACAAAAGTCAAGGACGGTCGACAAACCAGAGAAGAGTTAGCTGCATCTGCATACCTGGTCCCTCCCCTTATCACCGACCAGAACTATGAAGGACCGGTGATTTTTCTTGACATTATTGTTAATTAGTACGGGTATACGAGGATCAAGTTGCTTGCGCATGAAGGCTGCTGATACTGGCTGAAGCTAAGGCTAGCTAGTCCTCCCAGGTCCCACTGTTCCGTTCAAGGTACTAAAATTCACTATCGCGTTCGCAGAAGGAAGGTGTTTCGCACGCTCATAACCTTACCCTGGATGCATTAGTGTATCAATTATTCGAACCGAGTAGTACTAAAGCCCCTCCAATTCCAGGTCATGTTGGCTCATCAAATATACATTAATGTTGATTGGAAGGGCTGATGTGCTGATCAGCGTGCTCAATATTTTTTGCCCGCGCTCAGCAGCTCTATCTCTTCCCTAATAACTTGAACAATTTCTAGGTTTTTTTTTCCAATTGATATACAATGGCTGACACCTCTAACTTACTGAGGGTGCACATGCCCCGGTGTGAGGACGTATGTTGGGTGTCGTGTTCAGTGGAGTTCAGTTTTGGGCTAGCTTTACACAATGCCAGCCAGTGAACACTCCCGAATATCTGCAACGCCATTCGTCCTCAGGCAATTCCCATTGGGAGGCCAGACATTTGTGCGTCGAACGCATCTCTAATATCAGGTGGGTGTCGGGTTCATTACAATTCCGCTTTGTACTCACTTTACACAACGACATCCATTGAACACTCCCGAATGTCCACAACTGCGTTAGTCCACAGTCCACTCCCACTGTGAGTATTCCGCCACAGTGAAGTATGCAGGATTTGAGGGCTATAAAACTCTTGTGCATGACGGCGGTTGTAAGTCACTGATCACTCAGGATGAACCCCCTCATCCTCACCAACGCTTTTGCATCGGTCCACATCGGTGTCAAAGAATGTTTTTGTGGCAAACCGACGATGGAAGATCATGATTTTTTCTTTTGCTCTCCTGACTGTGCTCGCGCGGATTCCTTGCGTACTCTAGGCGGTCAAGGTGACTGCCATTACCGCAACATCATGCAGAAGGCATGTGCCAACTCAGCTGCTCCAAAGCATGCGCTATCAAGGCGCAAATCGGAGCACCAGCTTCGCAGAGTTTCAACCTCGAGGCATGCTTCCGTGTCACAGCATCCCCCGCATCCCCCCAATGCATCGAAGGCCCTCCCCACAGTTGAAGAAATCACGAGTTCTCTTCTCACTCAACAGGGGAGATATGAAGGCGAAGACACATCTGTTTACAGTCCTCAGCGGCCCTTCGAGCCACGGAATGAATCCGTTGACGTACAACAATCCCCTCTTCCTCAGCGGAACCTACAGTGCTCCTTGCCCTCTAAATCAGGGCTTAACAAGGGCGTCCGTAGCTCGATTTTTGCGATGTTCCACAAAAAACAGACATTCCAGCCTGATACAAAGATTCGAAGAGAGTCATCAGTAACTGGAGCGATATTACAAGAAATGGAAGAGGAAATCGAGGAAGAGGCTGCTTCGCAGAGACTTCTGAACCACACGGAGGGCAGGTCAAGGCCCCCTACCTTGGTTCACCACCAAGTCAAACAGACCACTACTATTCGGCAATCATGTGTCATTCGTCGCTCAGCTTCGTTCGCAGGCTTGAACAGCCAAATTGAAAATCGGAACGGGGAAAGGGGATCCGTAATGGAGGCAGTGTTCCAACTTCGTCAAGCGTGGAACGAGACGGCAGACTTCACACCGGACTTTGATGAGAGGTCAGACGAGGAGGATTAGTGAGCCATTTGAAATGTCTTTGAATACTCGGACTTTGATATGAATATGCCACACTATGTGTACTATATGTTGCGACTACTTATTGACTACTTATTGACTACTTATGCTATGACTCCAACAACGATTTCTATATCTCTAGATTCTTTGGCTTCGTAATATTGTGATCCTGCTGTACTTGTTGATGTTACGATCCGAAACAGGAAGGTGTTCAAGAACAAACGACTCCGATCGAGATTTCCGGCTTATCGTGTAACATTCTTCCAAATCGCCTCGGGTCCTACCCTTGCAAATATTGCCGAGAGCCCTTAAACCGAGCACTCCACCAGCATAATTCGCTTGTACGGCGTACATACAACCGCCTTACCACCAACTCTTTCTGTTGCGTACGATCATGTCCTCTGACGCTCTCTTGACTCAGATCTTGGCCCAACTCAGCGCACTCCAGGTCTCACAGCAGACCTTGCAGGCCAAGGTAAAATGACGTTCTAGGTTATAAATGCGAAGACTGATGCAATCCACAAACTAGTTGGATGCGTTTATCACTCCTGGAAGTCCACCAAGTCATGGAACTCCTATCACAGGCCACCATGATTCACCAACTTCGTCAACCTTGTTGCTATCACCTTCCTCTTCCTTGAGCAAGGTCCAGTTGGCTTCAGCATCGCAGGCGAGCACACCGTCAGACCACAGTCAGACCGATAAAGAGCGAGAGAAAGCTCTGTATCCAGGGAGAGTGCTTTTGACTAGTAAGTCTTTCTGAACACTACCTTTCACACGCTTCTGTTATTGTTAACTTCAGCTAATTTCGACCTCTACAGCTCATCCTGACCAGCATGGAATCAAACCTTTTCCACTACAATGGGGTGCACCTGATCCCTCCGTGAGGGGACCTGTGATCTGTTCGCGTTTACCTTCCTCAGTCAAGCAACGCAATGCGCTCGGCGCCCACTCCGGTTCATATTCGATTTATCGCGCCCTTGCTATAGCTATGGGGACTCTTAACCCCACCCACAAACCCGATTACTCTATGACCGAGCCACCCGTGCCTATTCCTCCACAACCTGCATGGTCAGATCCGCACAAGATTGTTTCGTTTGACCCCTGGGGACACCTTGTGCCTCAGATATTTAAAAAAGAGGTCGATGAACTTGGACTTGATGTTCGTCCCAGTATAGCAGTCACGAAGGCGCACATCAAACTCAGTGAAATTGACGAGACTGCGAGGAAAGGCGAACTCGAGGTGGACGGCAAGATTGTGTTGGCTACGCGTCCTCTGAGAAATGTCGATGGAACGGAGAGTGACGCTTATTCTGGTGTAGAGATCACCACCAGTAAAGCGGCTGTTGAGCCAGTGTGGTATCTGCCTGGCGTTGCTGAACGTTTCGGGATGTAGGTGGCTACTGCTGTCTTAATCTACTAGTTTCTAATCCCCGTCAGATCCGAGAGCCTGCTTCGCCGTGCTCTTTTCGAAGACACTGGAGGAATGTATCCTGAATTGATTACCCGCCCCGACATTAAGGTCTTCCTCCCTCCCATTGGCAATTTGACAGTTTACATTTGTTCGTGTTGTTGTTCGTCTATAAACTTTCTGCTGACTGCTCTCCCAAGTCGGAAACCCTGCATTCCTAGCCGATGAGTCTAAGGAACTGACCTTGCGTGTACATGATGAATGCATGTCTCTTCATCTGTTCTCTCAATTGTATCTGAATGTTTATAATTATCAGGTAATGGTTCTGATGTCTTTGGATCCGACATTTGCACCTGCAAACCTTACCTGGTCTTTGCGATCGAAGAGTGTATTCGTTGCGCCCAGAGAGGTGGGGTCGGCCTTGTAGTGTACTTCCGCAAAGAGGGTAGAGCGCTAGGCGAAGTCACAAAGTAAATATCAATTCTTTTTCGTACTCCCTGCTCACAGACCTCTTCAGGTACTTGGTTTATAATCTCCGGAAACGCGGTGGCGACTCTGCCGACAAATACTTCAAGTCCACGGAGCTTATTGCTGGCGTGAAGGATATGCGATTCCAGGCACTCATGCCGGATGTGCTACACTGGCTCGGCATCAGGAAGATCGATAACATGGTGTCCATGAGCGATATGTGCGTCAATCACAAGTACCATCCATTGATCATAGCTGACCGCGTATCTCAGGAAATACAACGCGATTGTCCAATCTGGAATTCCGATTCTGAAGCGGTATGATCTACCAGGTGGGTGACCTTCTCAATGTTGGCGTGGTTGGCAATTCATGATGACCCTCTTTCCAGAGCATCTCATCCCGCCAGACTCGCGTGTCGAAATTGACGCCAAAATCGCAGCGGGATATTTCACTAGTGGGAAGCCAATTACCGAGCAAGACTTGGTCAAGACAGTCGGTAGGACTTGGGAAGAAACAGAGCATTAGAAATAGCCTCAGGGCCCATGTAATTTCACCAACACTTCGTGTTCCTTGTACTGTACAACTACATTTCTTTAGATGATATCAAATGTCGACCTCATGCATCTTTGATTCCGTCGTTAGCTCGGACGTTCCAAAGCTGTATCGCCTTCTCCGCTGCTGCAAATCGTGCCTCCTCTTGGCTAGCCCGTCCTCGTTTCTCTGCGGTGGCCTGCACAGGCTCTCTGCCTTCCACAGTGATGGTGCAGGTTACATGACCCCTCTCTTCCTCAAATGCCGAGGTCAGCTCCTTTTGTTGGCGTGCAGCCCATATATGCAACCTGGTGAGTGGGTGCAAAACGTCGACGTCGTCCTTCAGGTTGCGCTCTAGTTGTTGCATTATACCCAATTTACGAAGTACTTGGTGAACGACATCCATATTTCCACGAGAGTCGAGATAAACCGCGCCGATAATACTCTCGATCATGTCGCTGAAGAATTTGGGCGCTTGGAGGCGAGTGAGGGCTGCCCACGGGAACGTGGGACCACGAAGGAGGGCTTCCTCTATTTCATCCTTCACTTTCCGATAACGAGCGAGCGTCGCTCTTTGCTGGTCAAAAACTATTGGGCTGGAATGGAGCAGGCATTGGTATAAGTATATCTGCTGCGTTTCTTCATCCATGACAATGCCGTTACGGGTGGGATGTGGTAAGCTCGCGTCTTTCTCCAGCGAGCACTTGAAACAAATATAAGTGAGGAAATGCATGTTAACCACGGCAGATTTGCGGATATGCATCTGGCCCGGGGTGAATTGTTTTCCTGGGTAGTGATAGAGATGGTTTGTGATGACCATGTCGAGCACAGAGTCGCCCAAAAATTCCATACGCTCATACGATACCGTTCGAAGATCGAACTGGTAGCTCGAATGAGTGATGGCTTCGACGAGGAGGAGCTTGTGAGTAAATGTGTATCCTAACATGCGTTCGATGTCGGTCATTGGAGTGGGCACCCCAGCGGTTTCCACGCACGAAAGTGCCTTCTCGATATAAACCTCGAGGGGTTGCCATCCTGCCTTGGGGCCGATGCCGAGACCAAAGAGTCGGGTGCACTCAATGCCAAGATTGTACCCTCCGTGAAGGAAGGCGGCTCCAATGAGGGCTTCTACCACATCCGCAAGCATCTTTGTAGATAGGTCCTCAGGAGCTTTGGGTGTTCCTTGAGACGAATCACCAGCGACCACGTCCTCAGCAATCTCAGTTACTTCTCCCACAGTAAAGTACTGTGGTTTGAACTTCCGAGGGGTAAATCGATCGCGTACGATCCACTTATACAGGGATAGCCTGATGGCTTCCTTTGCCAATCTGGAGTTGGAGACAGCATGGTCTTTACGCCTAGTAAGGTACCCTTCGTGCCAGAAGGGATAGGTGGCGATCAGATGTATCGACACCACAAACTTGAGAACGGCATCCCCGAGGGTCTCTAGTCTTTGATAATTAACATGACCTTGGGCTACGGGGGCAGTAATCGCTGTGATCAGATGAGGGAAAGGAATATGATAAAGCGGGGTCTCGATAAACAGACTCCCTCGAAGAGATACGGCAGTTGCAGCGATTGAAATGTGGCGAATGATGGAGGGTATCAGAATGGCATGATCGCATTGCACTTGAGAAAGAAGAACGACGCGAGATGATTGAGGAGGGAGGAACGACCTCCTGAGAGGCGCATCACTAGTGGACGGTAGAGGTTGCAAGAAATTTCTTCTTTGTGGCAATTCTTCTACGTGAAGTAACGGGTAGGTGATCTCAATTTCAGGCGTTTTTGAATATCTGGTCATGAAATCTTGCAACTCTTCCTCAGATAGAGGATCATGCCTCCACCCAAGGAAGCGATAAACCTTGCCGTAGGGAAACCCATCGCGAATCCAGATAATATCACTTGGGTGCGAGAACGCCTGTCCGAAAGTGGCTGCGTTTGCGAAGAGATCGTCTCCGGAAGACTCTTCCCCTTGCAAGTCCCGCAGCCACCTTCGACGCGCATCCCACACACCTCGGTCAGGGTCTTCCTCAGCAGGTTCAAAAAGATATGCGAAGTCAAATTTGTCCCACTGCATGCGGATTCCGTACAGACACCAGAACAGACGTCGTGTGGATTCATGAGCGGCTTGAAGGTCACTAACGGAATAACGGGCCACACCCTGTGCTTGCAATTCAACATCGATGCGACCTTTACGAGGATGATAAAGCACGGGTGCCTCCCCAGCCGCGAAAGATGGAAGGTCGACTCGGGTGAGCATGCGGATAGGAGAGAAGCCTGGTATGACAATGCGAGTAGCTGCCCAAGCCGTATCCGTCAATTCATCCTGCCAAGGATTCATCTGGCTAGTGACGGAGGCCATGCTGGATCGCTTCTCCACATCTTTGAGAAGATTCTTGACTTCCTCCTCCAAATCACGCTCGACCACGCTGGTCAATGGCAGGAGATGATCGTTGAGGAGATTGGCATGATAGAGAGCGAGGTATGCCTTGAATGCAACATGTCGGTATGCAGATTGCTTTGTAGGGTATATACGGTCAACTGAGAAGATGCGGAATTCCGCTGGGAGCCGCCTTGGTAAAGTCACTGTGCACCCGAATGGCCCCGGATATGGAGGGGGAACAACGCGTTGCGCAGGGTCAAAAGAGTGCCAGCCTTCAGGCATATCAGGGGGGTCGATGTCATAGATGGGAAGATTGGCTGAATTTGGAATAACAGCACAGAAATGATTGAGATGAGACACCGCTAGTAGTGGGGTAAGCATAGCCCTATCCATAGATGAGCAGGATGGCTTTGAATACACGCATATCACTCACCCTGTAGACTTCACCTTGAAAACAGGCTCATCTGGATCGGGTACTTCGTCATCACTGGAGACCGCTGGCCTGGAAGCACGGTCAGCCAGGTAAAGGGCTGTCATCTGGACCTCCAGTGTCTCGAACTCCGCCACTCTAGCGTCGTCGATACCTGACGATTCAAACATGAGAACAAAAGAGCTCCGCCTCCTGCGAGCACGACCTCTGCTTTGGGCCCAGCTCGCCATATTGTCAGGGATATCCCATCTGATCACATTTCCACAGGCCTGGATATCAAGCCCCTCTTCCGCCACGGACGTGGCGACGATGAGGTTCCTGTCTCCAGACCGAAAGCCCTCGAGAATATCTGCCTGAGGTTGGTCTTTCAGAAGTGTACGAGTGATGTCAAGAAAAGTATTGCGATAAGAGCTTTGAGAGCTTCCAAGCAGGCAGCCAAGTCTGAAATGAGCACTGCGAGGATGGTTCTTCAGAACCTCCGACAATGCCAACACTCCGTCGCGACGTGTGACGAAGATCAAGCCACTATAAGGCTCGTTCGATGACTCTGACCAATCCTTTTCGTATTCCAATGTCTCCAAGAGGACGCGGACTTTGTCCGTGATCCCGGCCTCGATGTCCGTAGGATCGTAAGAGATAGATGTTAGCTCAATCTGAGACAAATGTTTCATCAAGTAAGTCTTCTCCTTGGGTTGCAAGGTCCCAATCAACTCGTCCCAGGGAGTTTGTTTATCTAGTGCTCGGGATACAACACTTTCGATGTACCAGTCCGCCGCCCATGGACCAATGTCATAACATATGGCTTTGCCCGCGTTCGCGAGATCGGTCATTCCGCCATGCGAGTATGTCTTCTTGCTCTGGATAGCTTTTGACAGCTTCTGGTCCATTCGTGTGTACTCTGGGCCTCGGGTAGTTTTCGCTAGTTTATGACGTAGCTGTATAACGAAGGGGTCTTCCTCAATGTTCATAGTAGCGATAACGGCTTCGACTGCTGATAGGTTTTTAGAAGTATAGCTGGGATCACGGTATTGTGGGGTATCAAAGCGCACGTGTCGGAAAATCGGACGGTGGACATGAGTCAAGAGCTCATCTCGATTGGCTCGAGGACTACGAATAACGCAGTCGAGGTTGGCTTCCAATTTCCTGGAAAGCATGTCAATTATATTCATAATTTCTGATCCGAGGACCATACCGAAAGGCTACAGTAGCATTGCCACCGAACATAGGGCTAGCAGTGAGGCCCAAGATCATGGGACGTTCGTCCTGCTTAGTCGGCACCCTAGAGCCGCGGGCTGCAGGGAGGCGGGGAGGGAGGGAGAAGTAAAAATCTCGCATGATGCAGCTCATGGGGTGATTTCGATCCGCGTGGTGAGCCTCGTCGAAAACTAGGAGGCCGATATCCAGCCCCATATGAATGTAGCCGTGGCTGAGCGCGTCAAGGAGTACCTGCGGAGTAGAAACTATAACGCGATTGTTTTCCAGCACTCGCTTCCACAAGGTAATGTCAGTCCATTGCTTTGGCTCGAGCGCCCCGTGAATTAGGCCAACAGGGACCTGCATATTATCCTTGATCACGCTGTGCTGCTGATTGCAAAGAGCCACTGTAGGCGCCAAAAACCATGACACCTGGGAACCTCTGTGTAATGCGACCTTTGGAATAGATAACCTGAACGTACCTTTTGAGATCCGCGTTCTATTTCATATCTCATCCTCAAAATCGCAATCAAAGTCTTTCCAGAGCCTGTATCCTGAGCAATGATTATATTTTCCTTGAGACTGGCGTCCAGCATTTCCTGCTGATAATCACGAGTCTTTGGTATCGTATTAACGGTGACAGAAAGTTCTTCCATGTTGTTCTTCTTGACGGATAGGCCACAGGTGGTACAAAGACAAGATGCGAAAGATGGACAGCGCGCTAAGCTGATTTGTGCCAGGTCATATCAGAGCGCAGCACCTCCTTCGCGCCTAATCTGTCCTACGAGCACAAAAGGAAAACTGACGGAGGGATTCCGGTAGATGATCTTCCAGTTAGGTAACGGGAAATTTCCTCTATGGACGAATCCACACGAGCGTTAGGAGCCTCCGGGTCGCGTGCCCAATGAAATGTTCACAAGAGCAATGGACACCGAGGAACTCAGGCTACGCAGCAAAAAGCTGTAGGACCAAATGTAGGGTGTTGGGCGTGAGAGAAAGAGTTTCTCGCTTGTCATTGAGGCGCTCATTCTCGAGCAGCTTGTTTAAATGTCTCAACCAATTCCTCTCTCTCGTTTGAGGTCACCAGCCACATCAAGATTTCTGACCGAGGAGCAAACTCCGAGAGATGTCGAAGACGTGTTCCCAACCACACCATCGTTCGACCAGCCTCCAGATCCCATAACTTCACCGTGGAAACGTGCCCTCTTCGACTTACTCGAATCTCCAACATCATCTTCGTCGGCCTTTCTCGTCCACTTTGCATCAACTTCTCTTATCGTATTTTCTGCCGTCGTTACAATTTTGGAGACCGTGCCAAGTTTTCACTCTATCTCCCCTCGAGTATGGTTTGGTCTAGAAACAAGTCTGGTGCTTCTTTTCACCGTAGAATACTCCGCACGTTCTGTTGCATGGAGCTCCTCTTGGATCTCATTGGCTAAATGGATGTTCTGTATGTGTCGTATCACAATTTCCGATATATCTTCTCACGTGGCTCATCATCCAGCCTTCTATGGGGTCATTGACATGCTGGCTATACTACCCTATTACATTGAGATAATGCTGCAGCAAGATACTGTGAGTGATCTGTTGTTTTCTAACTTACTAAACTAACTTTTGACAGTCTGTCCTGTTCCGCTTCTCCATTCTGCGCATGTTTCGACTATTGCGGGTCTTCAGGCCGTTCCGATACAATAGCACCATACTTCTGTAAGGATATATATATATCTCGATCTGAGGGTACATGTGATCATCATCATTTCATCAAGAACCATCGAAGTCATGTATTTGGCTGTTCGTAGATCACATCACGCGTTGCTTGCACTTAGTTTTTTTATTGCAATGGTGTTGACTGTGTTCAGCACGTTATTGTACGTACTCCGTCACTCTACTCAATCCGAGCCCTTCTCACTGAACGCATTACTCAGATATTTCTCAGAGCGCGGTACTTGGGACGATAATTTGGAAACGTTCATCAATTCGGACGGTGACGCAACTCAGTTCCAAGTACGGACTCCTCCTTTGCATCTACTGATCTATATATAACACCCACCCCCACATAGTCTATACCCGCAGCCGCTTGGTGAGCTTGTGTTTCTCATTTTGCTATCTATTTTATTAAGACCTAGACAGGTTCGTGTTAGTCAGTAAGTGGTGGTCTGACATACTGCGGTGTCGTGTTCTGCTAGCTCACTTTCGTTTTCAAAATAGCAATTACTACAGTGGGTTATGGAGAGATTACACCTCGCTCTGTCCTTGGGCGCTTGATCACAGTTCCTCTTCTCGCTTTTGGCTTGCTTCTTATCGCCCTCCCGAGTTTCGTTCTCGGTAGAGAATTTAGCCTAGTTTGGGAGCAGATGTCCGATGATGGGGTTAGTCTGTTTCATTCCCTTTCACAACCCAGCTAGATGTTCTACTTCTCAGGAGATCACACGAGAACATGACTCTGCTGTGGCTGCCTTTAGTCACCATCGACTGGAATCTCAACCTTCAGAACTGCTGAAAGACCTTTCCAATCGGAAGCTCGCTCAAAATCAAGCTGAGCTGAGTCAGCAGATATCAGAACTACGAGTGACGGTGGAGATGCAGGGCGAGATGATTCGGGAGTTGCTTGGATATCTTCGCGTGGAGGGAACAGCGAAAGGAAAGTGCAGGGAAAATGTTGTTGGGGATGCGATGAGCTAACACGTGTAGAATTTGTTAACTTGGCTGTTGTTTTCACTCTCAACTTGACCCAGCGTCTACCGTTGGGTTACCGGAACTCGTGAACTCTCAGGTATTCTAGTGCTATCATTAACCATGCCAGTACTTCACGTGCATGTTCTTCTTGCAGATATTAATGTTGTCTGCCTAATGTGTAAGTTGTATGCGTATCGATGCCATCTCGAGAGCCTTGGGTTCTGTCCAATCCTTAAATGCTCCAGTGTAAGTGATGCTTCGGCCAAAGATGTTTTAAAATTGGCTGCAGCACTTGCACCACGTCCTAACACCCTACGATACAGTCGCCTGTCCCACATGATACCCTCTCCAATCTACCAGGCAATTTCTGGTCACCCAACACGGCGAAGCCGAGGTCAGCAGTAATTTTGTAATGAATGAAGATTTTATCTGAGCAAGGTTTATCCCCAGGTTTACAATGAGCTACAAGGGTGTCCCATTCGTGATTATCTGGCTGAAATTATTCGACGTCGCTGCCGCACTCAAGGCCATCACCGCAAAGGCAAACAAACGCGTAGATGGCTCGGATGTCTACGCTGTCCCCGTCCTAAGCGACTCCAACACCGGTGCTCTTATCACTGTCTCCCTCGAAATCGTCTCCTACCTCGACAAGACATACCCTGAGAAGTCCGTCTTCCCAAACAACTGAGAGCCCCTGATCCGCACCTTCGACTTCGCCTATATGGGCCTGTTCCCACCTAGCATGAAGTTCATCCTCATGCGCTGTGCAGAAGTATTGAGCCCTGCTAGTGTCTAGTACTTCATGGGAGCTCGTTCAGCAGACTTTCAGAGGCCTTGGGACGAGTCCTCTCCCGAGGGCCCGAAGCGTGATGCAGACTGGGAGCTCCTAAAGAAGGGGTACAATACAGCTTACGAATGGCACCAGAAGAGTAACGGGAAGTGGGTTATGGGCGGTACATTCACATATGCAGACATTATTGTCGCTTGTTGGCTGGCATTCAACCAAGTTTTGACGGAGGATAAATGGGCCAGGATCAGTTCTTGGAATGGAGGGAAGCGGGTTCAAGTCCTCGCCGGATCTAATTCAGGGGGGCATCGTGAAAAAGCTGCGCCACTGCTGCGGTGCTCCCAAACGGTGAGTGTGCATCGGCTACACTTACTGGAACCTCCCAGTACTTGTCCTCCAAACATGTCGCGACAGATACCGCAGCAGTCGCAGCAGTGGCGCAGCATTTTCCTAGTGCTGGGCAATTCAAGTTGAAATGTCAAACGACAAACCTTGGATGAACGATATGCAACAGCTGACTAAATTTAGTTCTAAAAATAGCCTGTAGTAGTGTCCCGTGGATTTCCAATCCATGGCGTGTTTCGACGCATTCATGCACCAAGTAATTTATTATCATATACCATCTATTCCATGTGCCAGCCTGCTTCTGTCAAGACCCTCCCTTGCACAAAGGTGCTTGCTGGTGGAAGAATGACAGTGCTTTTCTTGGTGCCGCAGGTGCCAAATCCTTATCAGCACTGAGCACATCAGCTGGTCTCGCGGAGTCGAGATTGATGATACTGGCAGTATCGAAACCGCCCATTGTACAGCGGTTTCTTGCCAGATCACCGCTGACAAATTCCTTTGACAGGTAAACTCAAACGACCACTACACAGTGCGCCGCCCATCACATGAGTTCAGGTCATTGTAAACGAAGGAATGGCTGCATTCCTTATGTGTCATGAGCTGTTGGTAGTTGACGTGTTCCATAGATTCAGTGACAACACCCTCTGCCTGATGTGGACTAGTATGCATCTAGGATCAATACCGGCACTACCGTGACACCACACGGTGTTCAAGGGCATTGATGTGCGTAATCATGCTCAGATGGTTCGGCGCTTACGAATGAATTTCAGCCTTGAAAAAGAGCTTCAACTTGAAGGTCAGCTGCAGCACTTCAAACCTTACGTCTCAGTACTCCACGATGCTGCCGCTTGTTCTGTATGATATTATCTCTAATCTCCCCGGTAATCAATTTTCACCCAATCCCGCGAAGCCGAGGTCGGTAGTTGTTATGCATACCTTCGAGTTTTAATATCTGACCAAAGTCTATTGCCCCAGGTTCGTTTTGAGCTACAAAGATATTCCATTCGTGACCATCTGGGTCGAATACTCAGATATCCATATCGCTATGAAGTCCATTGGTGCAAAGCCAATCAAACGCCCAAATGGCTCGGATGTTTGCACCGTCCCCGTCCTCAGCGACCCCAACACTGGTGCCCTCATCACCGACTCCCTCGAGATTGCTTCTTACCTCGAAAAGACATATCCCGAGAAGCCAGTTTTCCCAAACAATTCAGAGCCCTTGATACGCGCGTTCGACTCTGCCTTCATGAGTCTGATTCTACCTAGCATTAAGCCGCTGTTCCAACGTAGCATGGAAATAATGAGTCCCACCAGCGCCAAGTTCTTCATCGGAACTCGTTCGGTGGACGTCCCGTTACCATGGGATGTGAACTTTGATGCAGACTGGAAGCTACTGGAGAAGGCGTACAATACCCTGTACGAGTGGTACCAGAAGACTGACGGGAAGTGGATCATGGGCGACACTTTTTCGTATCCAGACATCGTTATTGCTTGTCAGGTGCTGTGGTACAAACGAGTGCTCAAGGAGGATGAGTGGGCCAGGATCAGTTCTTGGAATGGGGGAAAATGGGTCCAACTCCTTGCAGATGCTGAGAAGGAGTGCAAATTGGCTTAGAAGACTGCGTATACTATAGGATTTATTTCAGGGAGTTTTGAGACTATTGATAAATTCTTTCGAAACCCGAGGCACCATCGTAGTCAGAAGGTGCGCACCGGGGCCGATAGTGATTCACGACCTGGAAGAAACAGAATATTAGAAATCTAAGTCTAAGGCTCGCGCATATGTATTTCTCGTGTTGAGGGCGTCCGAAATGGCCGGTCTGTTGTACAAATCGGCACAACCGGTACCTAAAATTCAAACTCCTCCCCCAAGAGGGGTGCAAATGGCAAATTCCGGATAGATAGCTTAGTTTTACATAAGATTTTAAACCTTAATATATAACCACTTGAACTTTCGCGACGTACACTTTGAGTTTTGACCTAGCGGTCTCACAGGTGAATATTTTTTTTGTTTGCTACTGGGAGGGGGGGGGGGGTTTCTTACCATAGAATACAACCAGCTATCTAACTGATAAAAAAAATGTGCGTGCAAGTGTGATACTTGTCAAAAAGCAAATGTTCAATGTAATTTTGTAAACACGTGATCAAAGCGCGTCATATCAATATATGCGCATTATACACGTCGTCCGTCTCAACGCGCCTCGTCGACGTCCGTCTCAATGTGTCTCGTCAACGTCTCGTACTCAAAATTTTGGCATATATTCTAGTATGGGCTCGTTACAATGGCACATGCATACATTCGGGTCGTCGGATTATGACGTTTCCGATGGTTGTAGTGACTGGGACTCAGATACGAGTTCCAGTTCACGTCAGATGCACTTAGACTTACAATGTTCACATTGTTCCGTTTCTATCGACTCTACCGATTCATTCGGGCCTGTGTACCCCTTGGACGCCTTCCTAGAGTCGACAGTGGCACTAGAAGATCTGCCAGACGCTTATGAATTAGCAGTAACCCTTGATGACTTTGTTTGTTCAGACTCGGACGACCTTGAACCAGAACCGGAAACGGAATACAACGATGAAAAACTACTTATATTAAATACCCCCAATGCACTCTATCAGCTATTTCACAAGGACAAGCTACAAGTCCGGGTCGCCGCATCCCTACCTTCGAAATGACCTCGTACCTCTGTCTAACCACTTCAGTTTTCATGCACTTTAATTGCATAGTCTCCTTCATTGATCCGTTAATCGATTGTGTTCAACAGTACTAGTTTGCTTTCCAAGTCATACATCGTTTACTATGCTCTTTCGTTGCTATTTTCACTCGTTTTCAGTTGCACTATCATTGTTATCATTCACGCACAAGGTCTACAATTGTACTGGAGTCTATGTTACAGGTTTGTTGCGCGCTTTACCTCGCCTTATTATTGCATATGTCTTGTTTCTTTGTCGCTAAATGAACTGACTAAGCTACCTAATATAGTCATATCACCGTGACAATCACGCTGTGACAGGGGGTGGGGCTCGAAGTTTTGCTAGGATGATGTCAGAAGTTTTCCCCTCTTGTCCTCGCCTGCCAATCCGAGATCAACTAGCCACTTGACTTGCGTGGTATATACACCAGGCTGATCAGAAGCGTAGTGGGGGACGGAGTATGGCAGAGAGGATTACTATGAGCAGTGACGACAGAATAGATGCGTTTGGATCGTTTCCCGCCTTCGTTGACACAAGTAAGTAGTCCTTGAAACTTTGAGACTTTCGCTGACTGTGGTGTCGTCCAGCGGACAACATACGACAAATCACTGGAGAGGGCAACGATATTTCTTCAGTCGTTCAACCTGGTAGCAGGCATCCCGTTACTTCACTTTCACCCTTCCTGCCGGCAGAAATCCTAGCCTTAATTCTACAACCAAGATGGAAGCGGTGCGAGGATAGAAAAACCTGGAAAAAGATAGTAAATGTCCTGCTCAGCTGCAGTCTTGTATCAAGAGCCTGGTGCCAGGCTGCAAGAGTAGTTCTGTACCAGGATATTCGACTGTTTCGATCTAACTCTCTTCGCTTACTTCTTTGCACCGTGCGCGAGAGGTTCGGCGGCCATTGTCCTACACACACCCTACAATTTATGGATCGTTCGATGCGGCAATCAAAGGTGCATACAACACTCGCTGCAGAGATTGTTGCGTGCTGCCCGGAACTCAGGTACCTTGCAGGAGAGTATGGCTCCCTGTGCTTCACCAGCAATATGTCCCTCCCCGAGTACCCGTATTTGAGGGGGCTCAAAGTATCCGAGCAGAACCTCCACCTCCTTGCCCCTCTTCTATCGCGTTTATGCAATCTCGAGTCCTTTGAGATGTTTCAGGGTCGCGATGGTGACGATCTCCTGGAACACTTTCCGCCGCCTCGCTTCAAGCTTTCAACTTTATCGATATCTTACACAGAGTTGTCTCCTGGCCTGTGCAAATGGCTTGAATCAAGTTCACAGAGCATAGAGTGCTTGGTGGTGGAGGGAATCAGCGCGAGCCTAGGTCACTTGGCCAAGGTTATTGGAGGTTTTGTGAAGAAGGTCCACGTCAAAACTGTGGGTTTTTATACAATAAACAGCGACTTGGAGACTATCTCCTCTCTATCTGGGTTCGCAGGCTTGCGAAGACTTCGCGTCGATGGACAGATGATCAACAAAGAATGTTTGCTCAATCTACAATTATCATTGGAGACGCTCACGTTCTCCGAGGATTTTGCGAGCATGCGTACTGTGCTGGCGCTGTTACGTACGAATTGGCAACCCTCCTTACAATCACTGGACGTTTATCGTATGACAATGAGCATCTACTACTCCGAGGAGTGGATCGCTGCGACTGCAGAATATAGGGGTGAGCTGCACAGCGTATGCGCTGCTCGCGGTCTCCAGTTGAACTGGCTGTCACCAGAAGAATGATCCGTCTGTATTAAAGTTCATGAACCTGTATCTACTTTTTTCTTACGTCCATCCAAACTAAAAAGTTAACTAGGCAAATAATGTTACTAGGCTGGTGTGATTGTACATTCATCTTCCCTTGACAAGGCCAAATATTCGCATATAAAAACGGTCAGCAGTTCCAAGTTGATGCGAGCTTATTGCACTGTTCTTCTTTCACCTGTGACCCATCCTTCAACTCTAGTTAAGATGAACAACATGAAAGAACCTTCTGTCACTGTCGATTCGGTGCCGACGTCTCATAATTAATCAGCGAGAAATATTGGATACCAATCTCAAGGAAAATATAATCATCGCTCAGGACACAGATTCTGGAAAGACATTGATTGCGGTTTTAAGGATGAGATGTGGAACGGAACGCGGCTCTCGAAAGGTACGTTCATGAGGTCTTGTGGTCCCAAGATCCCAATCACACAATGATTTCTTGGCGCCCATAGTAGCTCTGTCACCCGGGTCGTGAGTCACTACCGGCCTCGCTGCAATCTTGGTGTTGATCTCACTACGCGAGTCTAGCGGACTGGCTTAGGCCCACAGTCCACGCGATTGTTGACCCAGGTATTGTTGCGTGGTGCGCACTTTGTGACTACGATGGTAACTTGGCTTTACCTGTCGAAAGAATTTATCATTGTTTCAAATATCCCCAAAATAATTCTCATAGTATACGTAGTCTTCTAGACCAATTTACACTCCTTTTCAACATCTGCAAGGACTTGGGCCCATTTCCCCCCATTCCAAGAGCTGATCCTGGCCCACTCATCTTCCTTGAGCACTCGTTTGTACCACAGCAAATGACAAGCAACAACGATGTCTGCATACGACAAAGTGTCGCCCATGACCCACTTCCCGTCAGTCTTCTGGTACCATTCGTACGCAGTATTGTGCGCCTTCTCTAATAGCTCCCAGTCTTCATCGTACGTCACACCCCAAGGCAGTGGGGCGTATCTCGAACGAGCTTCAATGAAGAATTTGGCACTGGCGGGACTCAATATTTCTGCGCAGCGTGCGTACATAGATTTAGCAGGAGGTCGAGTAAGGCTTTCATAAGCAGAGTCGAACGCGCGTATCATGGGTTCTGAATTGTTTGGGAAGATGGGCTTCTCGGGATATGTCTTTTCGAGGTAAGAAGCGATTTCGAGGGAGTCAGTGATGAGGGCACCGGTGTTGGGGTCGTTGAGGACGGGGACGGTGTAAACGTCCGAGCCATCTTGGCGTTTATTTGGCTTTGCACCGATGGACTTCATAGCGATCGGGATGTCTGAGTATTCGACCCAGAGGGTCACGAATGGAAGATCCTTGTAGCTCAAAACGAACCTGGGGCACAGCAGACTATGGTCAGATATCAAAACTTGGCATGCAGGACACGAAGCACTGACCTCGGCTTCGCGGGGTTGGCTGACCAGTTATTGCCTGGTAGCTCGGAGAGGATATCGTACAGGACAAGCGGCAGCATCATGGAGTACTAAGATGTGTGGTTTGAGGTGCTGTGGTCAACTTTGAACCTCTTTTAAGGCTGAACTTGACTCGTAAGCACCGAATGCATCCAAACTTGATTAGCGCACGTCGATGTCCTTGAACACCGGTATAACACTTGATACTAGTCCACATCAGGCAGAAGGCGTTGTCACTGAATCTGTGAAGTCATCATGAAAAAGGTTCACGTGCGGGTCTCAAACGCCCAGACACAGCCAGCGATAGTGCTTGATGATCGATCAACGTTGCAAGTCCCAACGACCCGTGACGGCAGCCTGAACCTGGGTGGAGCGGTGCGCTCTGTGGCGGTGGTGGTTTGCTCACAATACCTGGAATTTGGCGTTCGGCATTTCAATAAATCAATCCTGCTCGAGTCACTGATCTGGAAGGACTTGTGTCCGTTTTCCAGGCATCATTTGTAAGCCATATTGTACCCCTTTTCTAGGAGCTCCATCACGGTTCGGGCACTCGGGAGAGAACTTATCCGAAGGCACCAAGCTGCTGCAAGTCTGATAGCCACGCCCTAACTGGTGCCAGTGACTAATTGGCAGCAACTTGTTATTGAACTTGAACGTTTGAATATTTGAACCTGTACAATGTGGGGGGAAACAAAGCCAACACATATAGGAAATTAGTAACTCGGCTGTCGGCTGTTGTTTTCACTCTCAGCTTGATTCATCGTTCAAGTTAGTCTCCCCTAGTCATTCCTTCTATGCTTATGATTCAGCGTCAGGCTGCCGCAGGTCCGACCAGCCTTTGGTGGCCTTGGCTTGTCACGGCTTAATGTGCCAATATGCGGTAGAATTTTAGCAATACTCGCGGTCACCGACAACTCATCAATGCTACGACGCCGAGTCCCAAATGTGCTCAAACTCACTTTCACGTCACCTTTATGGGGGGGCTTATATGGACTGCGGCACCGCTCCGGTCGTCGGCGCATCCGTATGTTTCTCATTTTCGCTGGCAAAGTGATGTCTGGTACAAGCTGACTGGGCACCCTCCAACACTGCTAGTACTAAACAAGAGGCCTTGACCAAAAATTTGCCAGCTTATGCATTGTTTCGGCTACTGTCACGACTGTGTGCGCCCGGGCTGGTGCGCTACATGACGTGGCAAAGCCTCTACCTAGGTCACTTGTTCACTCCAAGTTCGACATCAAAGTATGCACTCCAGCATTTTCGATGTGAATATTAATGCGACATCTGCAGGGCCTGCTTTCGATGTCTAGCCAGATGGACCTGCGACCTATGAGACACTCTGGATTTCGTCAATGATATATGTTTTTACAGACTCCAACCAGCCCTCCGCGTTCATGGGCATTACAATTCTACTGAATCGAACTTCACTTCAATGCTGATTTTTGGACCATGCAGCTGTCCCGGGTCTTATTAGTACACGGATCTAGTGGTTATCCCGGTGCAAGAGCTTGTCGCTCGAGTTCAGTGCTAGTTGTGGAATCCCTACGATTTATAGGTGGCTTTCTGCAATTCTGTGATAGCATACATTGAACCAGTTTTATTTTGCTTCGAATCAATTGCATTTGATCGATGATCCACAACTTCGGTGCGCTCGTACACTTGTTGCTATTTAACATGCACATTGTCATCGTATATACAGATGTACAGGCGAGGTCTGAAGGACCTCGATTGAAACAATTTGTGAAGTATTCACCATCATTTCCGTGCTCCTAAAGTGATTGATCCTATACGTGTAAGTCTTCTAAGCCAATTTACACTCTTTCTCGACATCTACAAGGACTTGGGCCCATTTTCCCCCATTCCAAGAACTGATCCTGGCCCACTCATCATTCTCCTTCAGCACTCGTTTAAGTGCGAGTAACCAACATGCGACAATGATGTCTGCATATGAAAAGGTGTCGCCCATGATCCACTTCCCGTCAGTCTTCTGGTACCACTCGCACGCAGTATTGTACCCCTTCTCTAGTAGTTTCCAGTCTGTATCGCAGTTCGGATCCCACGGTAACGGGACGTCCCCTGAACGAGCTCCCATGAAGAACTTGGCGCTGGCAGGACTCAATATTTCCATGGTGCGTAGGAATATAGGCTTAATGCCAGGTACAATCAGACTCATATAGGCAGAGTCGAACGCGCGTATCAGGGGCTCTGAGTTGTTTGGGAAGACTGGCTTCTCGGGATATGTCTTTTCGAGGTAAGAAACAATTTCGAGGGAGTCGGTGATGAGGGCACCGGTGTTAGGGTCGCTGAGGACAGGGACGGTGCAGACGTCCGAGCCATCTCGGCGTTTGATTGGCTTTGCACCAATGGACTTCATAGCGATATGGATGTCTGCATATTCGACCCAGATGGTCACGAATGGAATACCTTTGTAGCTCAGAACGAACCTAGGGCAATAGACTTTGGTTAGTTATCAAACCTTCAAGTGACATGCAGAACATGAACTACGGACCTCGGTTTCGCGGGATTGGGTGAAAAGTTATTGCCCGGGAGATCAGACATAACATCATACAGAACAAGCGGCAGCATCGTGGAGTACGGAGACATGGGGTGTGAGGCAAGTGTGAGGTGCTGTGGCGTAACGTTAAATATCTTTTGCGATGTGCAAGGCTGAGCTTCATTCGTAATCGCTGAATCATCTAAGCTTAGTTAGCGCAGTTGAGCCATCAGAGAACCAGTGAGAAGACAGTCCTATATCGTTATGTATCGTAATAGATAGGAAAGGATTTCGGCACATTGGAATATAAAGCAATATATGACCGTGTAAATGCACCGCAATGATTCAGCATAATCGTCAGCAAGAACTCACTGGTTCACTGATAGGCTTGATGTGATGGTTACAGATACCGGTGACCGCGAGTATCGCTAGAATTGCATCGCGTATTGGCACATTAAGTAGTGACAAGCCAAGGCCGCTAAAGCCTGGTCGAACCTGCGGCAGCGACACTGAATCATAATCAAGGAATGACTAGTAGGGGAGATTAACGCTGAATCAAACTGAGAGTGAAAACAACAGCAGACAACAGCCGAGTTACTAATTTCCTGTGTTAGCACATTTTCCCTGTAGTTTTGGCAGGTGCCTTGGTACGAGTAACGAGTTCTCTCCCAATTGCCCAAAGCGTGATGTAGTAGACTGGGAGCTCCTAAAGAAGGGCTACAATACGGTTTACGAATGGTACTGGGACACAAGTCCTTGTAGATGAGTCGAGCAGGAGTGCAAATCTAGTGCCACAGAATTTCTGAAGACGCTGCGGATGTAGTAGCTAGGATCCTATATTTGAAATGCCAAATGACAAATTCCTTTAACAGGTAATTGCTGCAAAGTAAGCTCAAACCACCATGGCCACCGCCACAAAGCGCACCGCCCATCGATATCACACAAGTTCAGGCCATTGTAAAAGAAGCAATGCCTGCCTGCCTTCCTTATGTGATCAATTATAAAGCACTATCACTGGCTGTGTCTGGCGTTTGAGACCCGCAGGTTCCACAGATTCAGTGACAACGCCTTCTACCCGATGTGGACTAGTATGCACCGAGGACCAATACCAACGCTATACTGTACCGGTGTTCGAGGACATCAACGTGCGCTAATCAAGCTCGGATTGATCCGGTACTTGCGAATGAAGTTCAGCCTCGAAAATGAGTCTCAAAGTCGGCCGCAGCACCTCAAACTCCACGTCTCAGTACTCGATAATGCTGCCGCTTGTCCTGTATGACGTCCTCTCCGAGCTACCAGGCAATAACTGGTCAGCCAACCCCGCAAAGCCGAGGTCAGTGTTTCGTGTTCTGCATGCCAAGCTTTGGCATCTGACCAAAGTCTGCTGCGCCCCAGGTTCGTTTTGAGCTACAAGGATCTTCCATTCGTGACCCTCTGGGTCGAATACTCGGATATCCATATCGCTATGAAGTCCATCGGTGCAAAGCCAATCAAACGCCGAGATGGCTCAGACGTCTGCACCGTCCCCGTCCTCAGCGACCCCAACACCGGTGCCCTCGTCACCGACTCCCTCGAAATTGTTTCTTACCTCGAAAAGACATATCCCGAGAAGCCAATTTTCCCAAACAATTCAGAAGCCCCGATACGCGCATTCGACTCTGCCCATATGAGCCTCATTCTACCTGGCCTTGAGCCCATGTTCCCACGCACCATAGGGATATTAAGTCCTGCCAGCGCCAAGTTCTTCATCGGAACTTGTTCGGGGAACGTCCCGCTGCCTTTGGATGTGAACCGTGATGCAGACTGGAAACTACTAGAGAAGGGGTACAATACCCTGTACGAGTGGTACCAGAAGACTGACGGGAAGTGGATCATGGGCGACACCTTTTCATATGCAGACATCATTGTTGCTTGTTGGTTGCTTACATACAAACGAGTGCTGAAGGAGGATGATGAGTGGGCCAGGATCAGTTCTTGGAATGGGGGAAAATGGGCCCAAGTCCTTGCAGATGTCGAGAAGGAGTGTAAATTGGTTTAGAAGACGTACACGTATAGGATCAATCATTGCAGGGGTATGGAGTGGTAATGAATGCGTCACAAGTTACCTCAATTGAAGTCCTACAGATGTTCGGACGTCGCCTGCACATACAATGACGATGTGCATGTGATATGTATGAGCGCACTGAAGTTGAGGATCATCGATCAGCTGCAACTGATTCGACACAAAACAAAACTGGCTCGATGTATTCCATAATGAAATTGCAAAAAGCCACGTATAAATCGCAAGGACTCCACATTCAGCACCGAACGAGCTCTCGCGCTGGGACGACCACTAGATCCGTGTACTAATAAGACTCGGGACAGCTGCATGCTCCGAAAATTGGCACTGGAACCATTTGAATTCAGTTCCACTCCAAATCGATTCGGTGGCATTGTAGTGGCCATGAACGCGGAGAGTTGGTTGGAATCTGTAAAAAAATGTCCAGAGTGTCTCACAGGTCGCAGGTCCATCGGGCTAAAGCAGGCCTGTAGATGTCGCATCAATACCCACATGGAAAATGCTGGAGTACATACTTTGATGTCGAACTTGAAGCGAACAAGTGACCTAGGTGAAGGCTTTGCCACGTCATGTAGCGCACCAGGCCGGGCGCACACAATACAGTGGCTGGCACAACGCATAAAGGTTCGATCTAGGCTTCTTGTTTAGTACTGGCAATATTTGGAAGTGCCCACTCAGCTCGTATCGGACATCACCTTGCCAGCGAAAATGAGTAACATGCGGATGCGCCGAAGACCGGAGTGGTGCCGCAGTCCGTATAAGCCTCCACGTAAAGGTGACGTGAAAGTGTGTTTTGGGCAGATTTGGGACTCGGCGTCGTGGCGTTGATGAGTTGGCAAATGATTAGTGTCTAGGTTGGCAATTGTGGGGTGACACCAATCATTCACTGTCACCAATCAGAATTCGTTGTTCGGGTTATACATTGTCATCCGTTAAGAAAAAACTTTACACACCCTATGCAGGGAAAAGTATATAGTGCAACGTCCACGGGTTCAACACTAGGTCAACCAATCAAGTCAGCCTTCAGATTTTCAATGCACCCCATTATACTGTACGACATACCAAGCAAGGCCCCAAATAATATATGGGCTCCAAACCCTGCAAAGACCAGGCATGTCGCGCAGTCAGAGCCATTGCTGCATGTTGCTGACAAGCAGAGGATAGGTTTTGCCTGGAATACAAAGGTCTCCCATATACGATCGTCTGGGTAGAGTTCAAGGATATTCCCATGACTATGAAATGCAAAGTTGGCGCTTCGACTACAGAAGGGGGCAGATACACCCTTCCGGTGATCAAGGATCCCAACACTGGATTCGTCATTGCTGACTCGCTGGCGATCGCTGAGTACCTGGATAAGACTTATCCAGAGAAGCCGGTCATACCACGCGGCGCCAACGTTCTTATGAGGTTGTTCGAGCCTGCATATTGCAGCATTGCCTACGGAAAAGCAGTGAAACTTATCTTAACGAAGACCCTCGAAATCCTGAACGACTCGAACAGGGAGTACTTCATTCAGACGCGCTTGGAGCTGCTCGGTGAAACGCTCTGGGAGGCTGTGTCAGAAGAGAACGTCCAGCAGCAGTGGGAAGACTTGAAGAAGGGTCTTGATGAAATCGATAAATGGTACCAGAAAAGTGGCGGGAAGTGGATTATGGGGGATACCTTCTCGTTCGCAGATATGGTGGTGGCTTGCAGAACGATGTGGTGGAATAAAATCTTCGACGAAGAACAACTCCGAGAACTCCATTCTTGGAATGGCGGACGATGGGCGCGTATCTTGGCAGATGTGAATACTGAGTGCGGTACAGATCTGTAAGAAAAGGAATGAAGTCAATAGCAGTGCCATGTATTCCGCTCGTTGTTCATCTGTTATCGCTAAAATCAGTGTTGTAAGAGGTAATTTGACCATACCAGAAATACCTTGAACTCATTATGAGGCCACATTGCTGTCGTTGTCTAGCGCATACCATACAGCTCGGTGTCGGTGTTTCTTATCGTGCAGAACGTTTGAAGACGCCATCAAATCGAAGAAAGCAAACATTATGATATAAGGGGTTGGTGAGGCGATGATCGTTTCCTATCCTTACCGACTCGGGCGTCCAGATTCTACGTCGCATGTTCAACGAACGGCGCAAACGCTGGCAGCCGTACCGCTGGGATGGCAGTGCTTGACTATGATACTCCATCATCCTTAGCTTGATCATTCTACTCCCAAATGATTCATCAGTCCGCATTTGCGACCTGCAGATAGTAGATGAAATACCAGTGGAGGCACAATAACTCCACCTGAACTCCACCGCTCCCAGTGTCAGTGCGTGCTTGGTAGTCTGCAGTCTGCGCGCAGTGCTCCTATCTCCATGTCTGAGTTCACTCTTTGCAATGCAGAAAAAGCTTACTGAGATAGATCAGCGGCGAGCGCTAGCAGCGAGACAATATTAGTGCTAGATGAATCTGACTATCCTTCTCTGAGTTCAAGCAACCCTTACCCTCCATAAAATGCAACTCACCGCATGTTTCCATATCAGATTTTTCTCTCATCTCCGTCTTTGGACCTGTACTCTGTAAAAATCTGTTCTCAACCTCCGCACTGTCGAAAGTACGATGTCGGCGCGCCATTCGATCATCATTTCGGAGAGCACAACAGCAAAGGTAGTGTGCAAACATCTCTTTGTCATGGTAAACGTCCAAAGATGAACGAATTGCTTGTATGCATGCATTCGCGAAGAAGAACCAATACTTATGGAGCATTAAAATTTGTTGTCTTTGCGAACGAGTTTCATCTTATTCACCACTATCTTCACGATATCGCGCCATTCCGTCATGGCACCGAGTCCTTTAAAAAGAACTGCAACGGCAACAAACAAAAGTCGGAGCTACATACCAACGTCCCATATGCAAGATTCTTTCCGATTGGCTCGACAGCTTGGTAACACACAACGTTCCGGATGACGCGCAAATGTTCTGCCGTGAGTGGATGCTCGTACATGAGCGTATTCATCGCCAGGAACATGTAAGTCGGCGTCGTAGGTGCCAGCGCGCGAAGCAGAGAGATCTAAGCAAGAGGTTTGTTATCAAATACAATGTGAATGCGCTGGGAAACATACTGTTTGTCGCAGAGTCCGTGTGCATCATTTGAGAGCGTATTTGCCGAGCAGGGAGCGACAAGAACAATGTCGGCCCACCTCCTCAACTCGATATGCAGGATCGGGTCTCCAATCTTGTATGACCCTGTCATGGATGTTAAGACGGCCAAACAAGTGCGTGTACTCACCGATTACTCATCTTCATCAGTCCATACGTGAGCGCCTGCCTTGACGACATCTGCAGCCTGCAGATCAGCGACTCCTTGGTCGCAACTCCTTCTACTCTGACATTTTGGTACTACGCTTGCACACAACATGAGCAAGGGCAGGATTCCGGGATGGGTGACAGACTTGAAGAAGCAGTGAGACGATGAGGGGAGCATTGATAGATGCTACGCTTCCAGTCATTATGAGCAAGACATGGTTGTGATCCAGGGGGAGGCACTCCGTTAAATTGGCGAGTCACCATACCGATGAACGTTTGGGAGTGGAATTATTATGACAGGTAATTTTGCAAGCTGTTATTTCTTATTTCCCCGACATCTGGCAGGGCCAGAAGAGCCTCGGCCCCGTCGATTCGTCGAACACAAAAAAATACCCATCACTGTGCTATGTTTTTTTCCACGGCTCGACTTGCACCTATTGACACGCACTTACACCATTAGCTGAAAACTTGAAGCTCCAATAATGAGCAACTGTTGAACGCTGAGGTATGCCAATCAGGGATGAAGACAACGTAGAGATCTACACACCCAGACACCCAGGTTCACCGACGGTTGGCCTAGAAATCTTGTAGTTAGGATGGTACTAGACGTGATTGAGTGCAAAAAGGATCCGCTGGCTTCTGTACAGTTGAATATGAAGCGCGAGCTGAGCACAACAGCAAAACTCAATTTATCGTGGTGTTGTCCCACGGGCGATGTAATTTCGAACCTGAGGACAGTTTTGACTTTAGCCGCCGGCAATGATATTATTTTTATTTGGTGGATGTGGGCGGCTGAAATCTGATACATGTGCATGAGTGCTCATGAAGTTAGATTATTTGACAAAATTTACACTAGTACTAACATCCTATATGCACATGCCAACTTCGGCATATTAAATATGTTTGTTTTACAAAACAACTACAATAAATCCTTTCGGGTCCCTCTGGGACCTTAGCATCACCCCAGCGACGTCTAATTATCCAATCACACCCCGTGCGGCTTCGCGTTGGAGTCTGGCATTCCATCCCATCCCTCAATCCAAGTTCGAATATCCTCAAGTTGGTCGAATAATTCCTTAAGAGATTCGTCATTCTTCGAGACACGATCGCAATGTTCAGCTGGGCTGTGCCAACCTGCGAATGAAGTTGAGCGACGAAGGCTTCTCAGAGGGCAGATTGCAGCGGTCGTGTTTGGAAGGACTGGTCGTTGAGGGCGTGGAGGCATTGGCCTTTCCTCTGCGCGACGATCCAGCTTCCGAGGAAGAGGGGCGTTATCACAGTTCTCCCTTCCTCTTTCTTCGGCTATCGGGTGAAGGATCGATGATTGATTTCTGAGGGCAACGGTCTTGTCATCGACTTTCAGTGGCATAGTTTGCTGTGGCGCACCATGTAATTGTGTCAACGGTGATTTATGAGTGCCCCGATCAAGGCCCGGCCTGGTTTGTTGGATAGGAATAGGAAGCGCATCGAGGGATATCTGAACGGCGACATGGGGAGTTTTCACCAAAGTCTCGACCACTGCTTCGCCTCCCTGCTTTGCCCTTCGAGCAAGAACGACAGTCGTTACTTGAGCTAGCGTAGGGAACACCTTTTCTTTTTTGGCAGACCCATCATACTGGCCGCCTATATTTTGCTTTTTGCATTGATGCGTTGCGCTGACAGGTCGAGGGATGGCTGGAACATGCTTCGCAATCGGAGTTTTCCCCTCTGCCTTGCGCTTGTATATGGCAGGCGGCAGAGCACCGCAGCTGACATACGCCTTCCGCACGACTTTCCGATAGTGGGAATCTTCTCCCCCCAGGGCGGCCATAGCATCCGCACGAGCACACCCCGGAGAGCAAAAACAGAAATCGTGATCTTCCACTGTCAAATTTCCACAGAAACACTTCGTGATACCCATGTGGGCTGCTGAAAAAGGGTTTTGGCGAACGCGAGTGTTCATATTGTACGGGTGCTTGGCGTAGAACAGAGTGGACAGGGATTCACGACCAACGCCAGATGTATGACCTTTATAGCCATTGGAATTCTTGCTTGCTTTCGGTAGTGGACTGTGGCAAAGCCACTGGCATGCACAATGGAAAATTGCCTATGGATCAACAAGGCTGTGGACGCGCCCCAGGACCTGTCGACCGTTATTCTTGTGCAGCACAAGTGCTGAACACGACTTTGGAAGAATAATCACTAGTTGAATAATAAGCGAACAGAATGCTCGATATGAAAGGCCTGAAATCACAGGCATGCAGCCCTCTCGAACGCCAAAGCCGTCATAAAGGTTTGAATGAGCCACATTGCCACGATGCCATGCAATTATAATGGCACCTGGAATGCCCGCAACTGGGCTTTGACTGGATCTTTGCTGACCAGACAAAACAGAAGGAGGCCGACGGTCATTATTTATAACTTGAAAGGCCTAGATGCATACCTTGCTTTGACTCATCTAGAACAAATCGGGGACCAAGCCTTGGAAAATTGGCCGTCTCAAGGCCATACGGGATCCTAATCGATCAGTCCAGACTCCAGTGTATTTCGATCCCTTCCAATGATAATTGACATTTGCGCGTAAATAAGAATTGTGGTTGTTCGGTGTACGCAAAAGGTATCGGGCATCTGACAAGTTTATATGAACGATTGACGAATTTCATTGGCTGACTACGCTACGTGGCTTCTGCCAAGAGCGATTGTTTCATCTACTTCCAGGGCCTAGGCTACAGGCTGTTCATCTTCGACTACATAACTGTATCTTGCTTTTTCTAGTGCCTCACATATAGATTCAACGTAGCTGGTCTACTCGTGGCAAATCTTGAGAGCGATTTGAAGACGAACTTTCTTTCCAAAATTTAGATGATGTCTGACTCATTCGCAGACCTCTGGAGCTCATCTGCACCGTCCAATCCTACATCTCCGCAGATACTTGGGGCTGCCAAACAACGAGCAACTATTCCTCAACGGTCCCAGGATGCATTCTCCATTCTTTCCGCTTCTCAACCGACCTCACGCACGCATTCCCCGCAGGTTACCGGTTCCACCACCCAGCCACGAAACCCTGCGCCAGCAGGTGGAGCGAGAAATGCAGATGCTTTCAGTAGTCTTTTTTCTGGCTCGTTAGCGGATGGAAGAAATAACAATACTGTCAATATGACCATGGCTGAGCGCGCGGCAGCGGCTCAGAGAGCAAAGTTACAGCAAGCCCAGGCACCCTCCAGGGTCACTGTGCCCTTGCCATCTGCTTGGGATGGCCTTGATTCTCTTGCACGACAGTCGACACCTTCACATCCTTCACCCTCTCCTTCACCACAGGCCGACTTCAATTTCTCTGCATTGGCATCTTCTTCAACTACTACCGTGAAATCACCAGTGGGAGGTGATGATTGGCGCTCATCTGGCTCTACAGCCCCTCAGCCACAGTCTACTTCCCAAAAGAAGCCTGCAGGAACGCTCTGGGATATCGATGATTTCGATTCATCTCCTCATTCTAACCCCCCAATCCCTCCTCGTTCACGTACACCTGGTGACTTTGACTTTGGCGATCGCGAGGATGGCCTTTTGGAGACCCACTCTAATGATAGTAATGATGATATTTTGGGTGACTTGGCACGACCAGTTGATGCAGTCAAACCATCTTCACGCGTATGTCGTACTAAAGTTCCTCTGCCGATTTGCACTCATCGTTCATTGATCGGGCAGGATCAATCCACTCGAGCTACACTATCGCCTCAAGCTCCTCAATTGCAGCGCCTTTCATCAAGGCCTGTTTCACCACCTCCCCACATCGTCGGGCAAATTGTGGAAATGGGATTCTCTCCCCAACAGGCGCGTATAGCGCTTGCAGCTACAGATACTGGTCTCGATGTACAAGCCGCTTTAGAGACATCTGCTCGCAAATGGTGCTGGGATTTCCTCCACATCATCTCTCTCGCCGCACGACTACGAAGTTCGGCCGCCCCCACGACGCCCACCAAATCAGCGTGTTAACTCCAACCGAGACCGAGAAAGAGAAGTACCCCGTGGTACCGAACCAGAAGCACATCAGTCTCCGGATCTTAACGTGCAAGCGGAGAAGATTATTGCACAAGCCAGCGAAATCGGTATAAGCGTTTTTAATCGCGCAAATGCCTTCTGGAAGGAGAGCAAGGAGAAAGCACAGCGGATATACGAAGAACGTGCGAATGCGGCTCGGGCAGGGGCAGGGACCCAGCGAGGAGGTGGAAGGCCACGTTGGATATCTGACGAAGTACCGGACAGAGCTGGCGTGGAGCAACATGATAGGAGAATGACTGGTGGGTTCAAGGATGATGATGAAAATCCCCCTCCGACTGGACCATCAAGACGACAAGATGGGCCGACCAGACAACCTCCCTCACAGCCTGTCGAGGCGCCATCGCAGTCTCAACCGAAAGAAGTGGATCTTTTCTCATCTGAGGCCCCTGTTTATCAGTCTCCATTCCGACGTGGTCGTCCAACACCACAGCCTCAACCTCCTGCAGCTCCATCCCGTCTTGCTCGTGTTCCCTCACCTCCGAAACCACAACGTGTACTAGTCCCCGCATCGCCTTCAGCCCTCTCAACGTCTGCTTCACACAAAGCCACGGGCACGTCCGCATATAAACTTGGGCAGTATGCAGAGGCAGAATCTGCTTACTCTCTTGCCATTGCTGCACTACCAGCCTCACACATCCTCCTCGTTCCACTGCACAACAACCGTGCGCTCGCAAGGCTCAAGACGGGTGAGGCCCGTGGTGCAATAGAGGACTGTGCGAGCGTGATAGAGATAGTTGGTGATGATAGAGGCGTTATCGAGGGGGTAGATCTGGGGGATGCCCTCGTGAAGGCTTGGCGAAGGCGTGCAGAAGCCTGTGAGGGAAGAGAGAAGTGGGAAGATGCAAGGAAAGACTGGGAATCAGTTGCGGGTGCTACATGGGCGCCGTCAAATATACGTGCCGAAGGCGCGCGTGGAGCTGGACGATGCAGACGGATGCTTAGTTCTAGTGCCGACGAGGGCACCCCCTTACCAAAACCCAAGTCAAAGCCTAAAGTTCCCTCGGTCAAACCCGCACCAACTCCCCCCAACTCGGGGGCGCTCAAGGCTTTGCGTGCTGCGACCAATGCAGCTGAAGCCGAAGACAACCAGCGGCATGAACTCAAAGATTCCGTCGATGCTCGGTTAATAGCATGGAAAGGCAGCAAAGAAGCTAACATCCGCGCATTGATCGCTAGCCTCGACTCTGTGTTGTGGCCAGAGTTAAGATGGCAGAAAGTGGGGATGCATGAGCTTGTGTCAAATGCTCAAGTAAAGTCTCGTTACACGCGTGCCATTGCGCGTGTGCATCCAGACAAGGTCAGTTATTATGACAGATATCGGTGTATGCTGCCTTTGTCATCTATCGTTTTCTTAACCGAGATCACGAAAGCTGATCATACTTCTTGCAGCTGAATGCGCAAAATACGACCGTTGAACAGAGAATGATCGCTAATGGGGTGTTCGGTGCTTTGAACGAGGCGTGGAATGCATTTCAACAGTGATACCTATTCAGTACAAGGATTCGCCCTGTAATAATGGAAGGTAATGTGAGACTACTATCTCACACATGCCTTGGACTTGGTTTTAATACGGATGCCGCTTTTCAATTCCCATTTTCTGCACGTGACGACGCGACAGTGTGGAGTACAGAAAACAGAATACCACAACCATGTGGATCAGATTAGGGGTATTACATATAAGTACTGGTTCTCGTTTGTTCTTCCTTTCCTCAGTCCGTTACACGCGACTGAGGGTGCGTCTCGCCGTTTCTTATCTCACACTAGCTAGACTAACTGTGTGTAGATTTTATCAAGCTGTGCGGCATACCGATGATGGTGCCATTTGAGGAACGGCTTGCAAACCTAAGGTGGGTTTATAGATGCATGTCATCTTAAACATCCTAACAACTCGACCACGTAGCTTGGCAGATATGGAGCGCACATCAGACACAACCCTCGAAGACAAAGATTTGAGTAGACAAGAGGGACAAGGATGCCAGCAACCTGTCGAGGGTATTCAAGCACCCTTTGCTCGTTTGTGCTCGAGGATCGGAGGGGAGCACCAGAATGATCATTGCTCCACTCTTCCGTCTTCCAGACGAGATCCTTGTGGAAATAATAAAGCACGGCGCTGATACGATGATAGATAGGAGCGGCTACAGTTTTGAGAAGACAGTGTCGCACGTATCCATGCGGTGGCGAACTATAGTCATCTCTAATCCGTCACTATGGACGTACATCTCTGTGTGCCCAGAGGAAACTCCATCATTCCTTCTAACGCGCATTCATCGTTCTGTGGGTATACCTGTTGATGTCGACATATATCCTTGGTCAACACCAGTTCACCAACGTTGTACCACAGTTGTTACTTGTTCAGCTGAACATTATTCTCCGTTATGCAAGTCGGTGGCGCTCACTCACTCTTCGATTTGGACTGGCGGAATCGATGTTCGCTTTTGTTTTTCTCTACTTTACGCGTTACGGAACATATCTTCCATCCCTCGAATCTGTGAGGCTATATGGTTCAAAGATGCAAGTCAAGCCATGGTCACGGGCCCTCTTTTTCGACGAGCCTTGCACTCCAAGGCTCTCTACCCTCGAGGTTGCCAATATGAAGATACTTTCTGGCATAAACTCCTGCAACTCGACAATCACCACCCTAGTCCTCACAAACGACATACCATCGGAGATTATGATTACGACTTTTAACGATTTCACGCGTGTTTTCGCCTCATTTCCATTTCTCGCCTCATTGGTAACCTACGGTCTCGTGGTCGACATTTCTTCGCATCAGTCGTTCACTGACGATCACCAGTACCCCTCCCTCCGCACCCTAAGCATCCATCGCATCGATGGCGCGCGTTTCTCCTCGTTGATCGCCACTCTTGCATTAATTTTTCCTGGCATTACACACCTCAATTTGACAGGGCCCCGGGCTGCCTCCTCGTTACTTGAGGCTGTACGACAAGTATCTGCAGATCAAATATGGCCAGGCCTCCAGAAACTCGTGCTAAATACTTTTATTGGCTATGAATGGTCACAAATCAATCATTACCTTGAAACACATGGTAGTGGTGATGATGGCGATGGCGAAGATAGGACGCAATAAAGATGGTGAATTCATCCCACTGGTATTGCTGATCGTGGAGGACGGGACACTAGAGTGATGCAGTGTTGCATTTTCAATAATTGGACCCTGATAGCGCGCACGGAACTACGAGGTCAGACGATGCACGGCAGGGATTCTGGGGACTCTGAACTGAATTTTACTTCATATACCATGATACAACTATAGCTTTGTACGTGCTTCTGGTCAGTAATACATCCTGAGTCCATGCCAAGGTCGCGCTTAGCGCTGTTGCTGGTTTCATTAAAGGCAGACAGGAATGACCAAGCAGTATCTACCGTACCAACAGTGTCTGCCTGGCGCTTCCGACGCTGGAATGACTCGTGAAGTCGTGGTCTCCAGCTAGGTGTCACGGCATACGCGACCAAGTCGATTTGCACTTGTTTGACATAGCCTTTAGCTTTCAATAAGACAAAACAACGCCAGAACGCGTCTCTAAGCTCTGATAGCCGGAAACGCAACACTGTCTGCCTGAATGTTATTCTGCCGCAAAATTCCAACAAAGGCTCCCATTTACATTCTACGCAGATTACGATCACCTGCTCTGTGTCAATTTATCTCTACGGCCATTGACACTTCCATAAGCAAGCCATTCTACATCACTACACCAATATTCTATCCGAACGCAGGTGTCTACCCCGTTTCCTCAATACCATCTAAACTAATATGTCCTAGCTCCGCACATAGGCCACCTGTACTCACTCGTCACTGCTGATATATTCGCTCGCTTTACGTGCATCTCTGAGCCGGACCGACTAGTGCACTTCTTGACAGGAACAGACGAACATGGTTTGAAAATCCAAAAAGCCGCCAAGGACCGCGGAATAGAACCTTCTGTACTCTGCGATGCTCTCAGCGAGCAGTTTCGTGTGTGTCCCAGTTCATTCTTTCTCAAACTCATTGACACAAAATGCGTTACAGAGGCTTGGTACTCGTGCTAACATCAGTAACACGGTATTTTTGCGCACGACCGAAGCTAGACATAGGGAGGCTGTGGAACACGTATGGGTGTGTATATTCTTCATTAAATGTCCAATTTTCTCAACCCATACCGCATAGCGCGATCTCGCCGCACAAGATCTCATCTATAAGGGCACATATTCTGGATGGTACTCTATCTCTGATGAATGTTTCTATACCGACAGTCAGATCACTCATCCGCCCTCCTCTCTAACTCCCATCTCTATTGAGACTGGCTCTGCAGTTGAGTGGTCCAGCGAGTCAAACTACAAGTTCCGTCTCTCCAGTTTCCGGGACCGTTTGCTAGACTACTACACTTCCAATCCAAAATCAATATACCCATCAGCTCACCGAGAAAGGCTAATACAGACTCTGAAAGACGAACCTCTTGATGACCTGTCAATTTCGCGACCACGGGAGAGATTGAGTTGGGGCATTCCCGTTCCGGGCGACATGTCACATACGATGTATGTGTGGTTCGATGCACTGACAGTGTATCTCACTGGAGTTGGATTTCCTGCTGAGCGGCAAGGATCAGTGTGGCCTCCGAACATTCAGGTCATTGGGAAGGATATTGTTCGGTATGTCACAATGCGCATCGGACTTCACTAGTAATACCTGACACGGACAATCAAGTTTTCATGCTTTGTACCTGCCCGCTATGCTCCTTGCGATGGGAATGCCGCTCTCGCACACCCTTCTTGCGCATGCGCACTGGACGGCACAGCAGCGCAAGATGTCGAAGTCTATAGGCAATGTAGCAGATCCATTCGACGCCATGGACACATGGGGTGTTGATGCTGTGCGATTTTACATGGCACGCGTCGGTGGTCGTTTCAGAGACGATGTTGGTACGACTATTCACCTTTTTCGTTCCATGCGCATTAACAAAGGGTGTTTTATTTCCAAGACTGGTCCCCTGAACAACTCGAGAAGCATGCGGACGAAATCCGTAGTTTGCTCGGCAACTTCTTCTTGCGTATCACGTCTAGGACAATCCGGAAACGTGTAGCGTCTGCGCCTCAATTCACGTTCGTTCAGCTCCTTGATCAGTCCCTCGATGGCCCCAACGGTGACGTGCTATCATCGCTACGTAACCTAAAGGAAGAGTCGAGCAATGTATGGAGAAGTTTGAGGTGGGAGATGCGCTCGATGCAATCATCCTTGTCCTCAGGGAGGTACGCAGCTTGTTCATTTCGTGTTCGACCCTCCTGACGAGATTCAAAGGCGAACGGTGCATTAACACACACTGCGCCCTGGTCGACGCAAAATCCCTCCTGATGCTGCGCGAGTGTCTTATCTCCTCTCGCTCGAAGTTCTACGGGTCACTGGTATATGCTTACAACCCTTCATTCCTGAGGCTGCACATAATCTGTTGGATGCATTGGGTGTTCCGAAGGCAGAACGGAGCATGGATTTTACAGCTGTGGGTAAGGGCAATGTTGGAGAAGTGAAGGGAGTTAAGCTGTTTGAGGGCAGGAGAGAGATAGCCAGCGGGAGTCAATAGTTGTCTGCTGTGTAAAGCCAGGATTACGGAGCAGACTACTAGGTTCGTCTGCATGAGTGTGCACACGTGCATACTCGATACCACCACGCGCCATCTACGACTCCTGTTGTACAGCCCACACATGTGTTACAACAGGTTACACGCCGCTGGCATCGGTGACACAATCAAAATAACATAATCACATTCTGGATCATGACTCCGCTACGTAATGAAGTAGAATAGGCCCGTATAAGTACTACGGCTGTGTTTACACAGTGGGGGGCGGTGGCGGTGGTGGTGGCGGCGCTGAGAAATGAATCAGCACGATGACGCATAGTAAACACCCTGAAGTCACTTACGGCAGCAATAATTCTCCAGGGGATCGCAATGTTGATCTTCAGGACAGAGAATCAAGCAAGGCGAATCTACAGATGTCTGCAAATCCATCAGTTCTATAGACCAATCAACAGCATACACATGACGTACTTTCAGACCATCCTCACTGGTGATAGAGGGACGGTAATGGTATTCCGGCTGAATGGTGCTGGAATGGATGCCGTTCAGATGCAGAGCCTTGCGTATGTCTGCAGCGATAGGCATGAAATCATGATTCCTCGAGGCCATGACGTGTACAGATGCGACGATCTTGGATTCTGAGAGTTGCCAGATGTGAAGCTCGTGTACTGATAGGACGCCGTCTACTTTCAGGATGGAATCGCGCACGTCTTCGAGTGATACGGTGTGTGGGACTCCTTGGAGCAAGATGAACGAGGCGTTCCGAACTGAAGAAGGGTAAATTAGTGTCCCCGCGTTAGAATACAACCAGGAGTGTCTTACCTAGAGGTAAGGCAGACGTGAAAATAATGATAGTGATGATGATGCTGACTGCGGGATCGAGGTAGAACCGACCACCCCACGTTGTGAGCCAGATAATGAGACCTGTAACAATCACACCAACGTTGCCCAGAGCATCACCCATGACGTGAAGCATTAGGGCGCGCATATTCATTGACCCATGTGAATGACCATGACTATGACTGTGGCCGCTCGGAAGTGGGGGTATTGTGGAGGATTCGATTTTGTCTTGCTCGTGATCGAGACGAGGAGTTTCCGAGATGTTTATTTCTACTGAACCGTCAGAAACCATCCGTATAGAACGAGATGATGATGAGGCGTTTCGCTGGTGTGAAATAGGGGAGGCTATAGCAATATCCTGTGCGGCTTGTGAAACTGCAGCACGGGTAGCGGCTGGGTGTCCGTACATTGACGAGTAAGATCCTGTGCGAGCACGAGCTGTGGTCGACGAGTCCTGAAGGGGTATATCGTTGGTAACGGTGTGCGTTGCATGTGATGCATGTATGTGGCCGCTCTCTTTGTCGCCATGAAAATGACCATGCGAATGAGAGTGACCATGTTCTGAGACATGGATGAACAATGCGGCGAAGTAATTGAAATGGAGCGACAGTACCATGGAACAAGAGAAATCCGAAAATGTTTGAGGCTAGACCGCAAGATCCCACTATAACCACGAGAAGTGGATGTGATACATCTTGGTAGTAGGGTATTTGTGAAGGAATACATGAAGCGCCTGTTGGACTGACCTTGAATACTGAAGAAGCGTTCCACTGCCTGCAAGCTAACAGAGAAACACAATGCAAGTAGGAAAACACCATTGGTTAAAGCTGCAAGAATTTCGGCCCTTTGCCAGCCATAGGAATAACGAGAATGATCGGCGGTCTTTCCCGTCAGCTATTATATTATGTTCACTCAACCAACGAAGAAAGACTATGTCTGGCACAAACCTTGATAGCATACAAAGCAACAACCAAGCTCATCACATCACTGCCAATGACATGGTTACAAAATTATATGACGTAGAGTTGAAGGCTGACACTTACTTGAGCATATGGAAGCTATCGGTGACGAGAGCAAGGGAACCAACAACATAACCTGTTGATCCGTGAATTGAATTATTGACCAAAGTGATAGCCGAAGATATGGCTCACCAACGACGAGTTCCAAGAAGAAGAATAGGATGTCAATGACGAGCAACAGTGTGATGCGAGCTGTACGAGATAGCGCCATTGTGATTTACACCCTGTGCGCTCTGAATCCGTAAAATTGCAGGCAGCTGAAAGAATAAGCGAGGGATTTTAAGTAGGAACGAATTTGGAGCTTGGAAGATCGAAGCGAACAAAGGAGAAAGACTGTTGAAATTATGCTGTGATAGAACATTAACCAACGTTTCAAAGGGCCGTTACTTCGCTTGATAGTGTCAGCCACGGGTACTTCACGTGTCCACTGCCTCGGAATTTTAGACACGGATCGCTGGCGCCGGCACGACATTCAATTCAGTTGCAACTTAAATTTGAGTATACATGGCATAGTATGGGAGGCTTTGTCTAGCTTGGGAGCCGCCGATCATCATCATGGTGCTTATGTAAATCCATTTTGGGGGCCGAACTCAAAGTCACGCAGTCTCCGTGCGCGTGCCAAGTGGATTGGGGCGTGCAACAGGGAGGATCAGACTTGGAGGTCGCGTGTTGGCTTGTTAATGTGGCGCGAGCATGTGCAAGAAAAGAAGTTTGTCTGATTGAAAGTGCGAGATATTTGCTGGACAATATCTCCCGGAGAGAAAGGAATCTATTAATATGTGAAAGATAAGGGGATTAATCAGTCTGAAGAGCGATAATCTATAATCGACGCGAGTACTTGTCAATGCAATGTATAGTACGGGTAGTGCTCCAAGACGGTTGCAAGATCAGTCTGACTTTTGTGGGCAAAGTTCCGCGGAGGGGGCGTGCTAGATAGGCACATACCCAACAGGCAGGAGCTGTACCCAATATTGCGGTACTTGCTATCGATGGCTTGTCTGTTAAAGATAACTTGAAGAGATCCGTCTCTCTCGATCTGTGGCCGGTCATCGTGGGATACCCCAATGTTGGGTAAGTTCATCCATGTTAATGTGAGTTCTTGATAACACGTCGACACCGAGGAGCTCCGAGTTGCGAGACTATCACCAGCAAATCTAGAGCAAGAAAGCAAATCGCCGCCAGTTGTCACCGCTACCAGTACCGGAGTCAGAAACGCGTAGCACGTGACTGATCACTGGGCCATGCTCCTAGCTGCTTGAATCAGTCTTCCACGAAACTCTCATGCTTCCTCGCTTCCTCCTATCTTATTCATGCCCATAGTCGTCGACACCTAGCGATGCCCCCAGGAACACCCTACGCCTCTTTCGCACTCCCTTATCCCATCCGTATTGATTGCTTCACCTGCACAGCTCGCCTTCCAGTTCCGTACAATACACCAGCACTGTATCTCCTCACCCACTCGCATACAGACCATATTCTCGGCCTATCGTCCAAATCATTTGCTGCGCGGGTAGTATGTTCGCCTGATACAAAAGAGATGCTCTTGAGGCATGAAATTTATCTGGAACGCGCAAAGAAAGATGCAGGTGAAGTTGCAACGAGGACGTTTGCTCATTTGAAGGTTGAAGGTGGAGCGCTCAATAGGGATTTGTTGGTGAGTGCGAGAGCTCTTTTTCATGCTCATGTCTCAATGTGGTACATCAACATAAAGCACGCGGTTCCACTGAATACTCCAACTGAATTTGAGTTATCGTCGACTGAGACAGTGACTATTACACTCATCGATGCAAATCACTGTCCGGGTGCCGCTATGTGCATTTCACTTTGTATATTTTCCTCCCTAACGCTCATCCCTGCTCGATAGGTTCCTCATCGAAGGTCCTCGTGGCACCATTCTTCACACGGGCGACGTACGTGCCGAACATTGGCTACTAAAATCTCTAGCTCGAAATCCATTTCTCCAACCATACATCCCAGATACAGAGGAAGATCTCCGTGTTCTCATAGCGCGGGGCGGCCAACCAGCAAGTTTGACAAAAACATTAAATGCGATTTATTTGGATACCGCGTGCATGTTGAAGGCAACTGTTGTCCCACAAAGGTAATGATTCCAGATACCATCAGATTGGTCGATGGTTCACGAATGTGAACAGGAAAACGCGGTCAAAGGCCTGGTCGAGCTCATTGCGTTGTTTGATAAGGACACCTATTTCTTCGTAAACTCGTGGACTTGGGGATACGAGGATGTGCTCAAGGGTATCGCGCGAGCGTTCCAGTGTAAGGTAGGCAAACGTCCATTTTTACGACCTTCAACTATATATCATGGGTGATCTTTCCGTGCGGTTCGGAAACAATTTATTCGTCCGATTTTTGCCTTTGTGACTTGTATTTAGCTGTTCTTGTCTTGCCATGGCGCATATATGCACTTACATACTACTTGCATTCTATTCTATGCTGCCTCATGTCCCCTGCCCTCTCATTTCTACCATAGGGTCCCGTTTTACTGACATATCTACTTTTCCAGATTCATGTCGATCGATACAAACATGCGGTCTACACGCATATATCAGATCCCTTTCTTCGTACTCTCGTCACACGCGACGCGACGAGCACCCGTTTTCATGCTTGCGAACGGCTTGAGCGGTGTAGTTTCGTAAATGTACCTAGGTATGTTATTCCATATTCTATTAGTCGATATCGCTCATCAATGGCGCGTTTGTCATTTACGTCGTAATCATTCTTGTTTATGTGTGGCCAAACCTGCCATGACCATTCACTAAATTAATTGAAATCAGTTTCGACTTCAAGAATGACTTAGCGCCACGGAGCATCGAGGGGAAGAAGGTCGTATACGTCAATCCAGTGACCATGGGATGTGCACGGTGGGAGGGCTATCGCATGGATGTACGGAGACGTCTTGCGATGGGGAAGGATGTTGATCGCTTGGTCGGTATCACGCAATTTATTAATACAAGATACTAATGTTGGCATTCTTATAGTTCGTACCTCTCGAACGACATTCTCCCTTACCGGAACTACTGAATCTTGTTTCCCTCTTCCGCCCGCGTCGAGTGGTTCCAAATACCCTCGTGCCTGCTCTCGGCGGTCTCGATTGGACTGCGATGAATGCTATGTTCAAGGAGTGCATGGCACCGCCCATTTATGGCCGTGGCGATCCCATCCCAGACGAGTTGAACTCGTCAGGATTTGCACACCCCAGCGTTCTCGATCTCGCCTCCCTCGACCTCGCTGATGCAGATTCAGCAATGAAAAACCTCGTCGGTGACTCTGCTGAACTCGAAGCAGAAAAGTGGGTAGATGACGGGAGTATGCGTCGACGGCTGGAGGTGCTCCAAGGGTGGTTAGGACCAAAGGAGAAGGGAATCGTTGATCGAGCGCTCGGGCGTCTACCGAATTCATATTCTGAGCATGGAGGCTCATCCCCGTTATCGTCCCGGAACAATTCTGCGCCGGAGACTCCCAAAAGGATGACCAAAACTCACATGCAGGTGAAGCGCTATCTGGAAGACTCGGACGACTCGAGCGACGATGGGTCTGATGCACATGCCAAAACTGCGCGGCTGCTCTTTGCTGGGGATTATAACATGGAAGAGTCAATGAAGAGTTGGTTATCGTCAAGTCCGTCACGGATATCAGGAGGTGAGGCGCAGATCATCAGTGCCGAAAACTTGGGTCCTGTGCAAGAACAGTCTATGGCAGTTGCAATAGCAGAAGCTGATGTTCATGCTTCGGTATTGGAAGGCAGCGTTCTGGTCCCAGTGTCTGTACAGATTAATGACACAGCCCTCGTCCCAGCTATCACTCTCTCTGCTGATCAAAGCCTCCCCACACCAGTATCGTCACCTGACCTGCGTCCGCGAGATGTCAAGGGGAAAGGCAAGGAAATAGAAGGTCAAAGAAATGCTGGAATCACAGATTTTTCGCTCCTACCTTCCTCCCCACACACGTTCAGGAGCTCCTCATCCACCCCTTTTCTACGGATATCCAACCCATCTAGCCAAATTCTCCGGCACGCACCAATAATTCACCCTGTCTCCGATGAACTTGGCGAGGGTAAACCACTGACCCGTGCGCAGTCCGTGATGTCTTTGAGTGCATGTACATCTCCATTCGCACCGTTAGAGGATGTAGTCATGGCCGAGGCGGAACTGTTATCACTGCCTAAGCTACTCGATGATAACTCCTTGAAGCCTCCCGAAGTACAAAATGTTTCGATTCAGATGCGCGAAGACGCGAGTGCAGGGTACAATCAGCAGAGCATTGAAACATCCCGGAAAGAGGTCTTTTCCCAAGCATCATCAGATACTCCATCATCGCAGCGTTCTCAGCCATTTACGAGCCTTTCTAATCGGGAGCTTTCTCATCATCTATCTCTCCCTCTAGCTCAGATTCAGAGCCAGAATAGCGATGGTCACAGGACAAAACGCCGCAGATTTGAAGAACATACCAACAGTGTTTCTGAGACAGAAAATAGTGACGGAGATCAAGTCATTCCATCTCTCGTCTCTACCCTCGGGCGTAGAAAGACCGAAGAATTCATCGATGGCCCTCATGATGAGGCACATCCGTACTACAGGTCGTTTAGGGTTCCATCACCAGATCTATTCCTTGATACGACCAGTGAATTAATGTCACCGTCTCACGAGCATGAGCAGCGTCCCTCTGTAACCCTGCCTAGAAACCTTGCACCCAGTCGGTCGGCTTCGTCACTTGGATCCCCTCCTCAACTAGAGATTGGTTCCTACCGCAGACGCAATGAACCCCTTGCAACGTCTTCTACCTCTGTCCTCGTTACTGTAGCTTCGCCTCGCACTATTACATCCACTCCAACAATACCCCTTTTATTAGGCGACACTTCAACTATCAGCCTCGCCTCGTCCTCCAAGCTTCCACGGCCTTCCTTCGTCATCTCAGAAAAATATTCGAACTCTCGCTCCGCAGAACGACGCAAACGACGAGAAATAGCTGAGAAACTATGTCTAGCTCGTCCAGATTTAGTTGATCCCTCCTATGCAGCAAAGCGATCGAGGAGGTTCTCTCGGCTCAAAGAACAGTCGGTATCCGACATGCAAGACATGAGCTCGAGTGCAATTGGAATTGGCTCGTCCCCGTCTCATTCTATCTCTGCAGAGACCAATGGTCCGTCACAAACTATGGTCCGCCGGGGATTCCGTCCTGCATCTCGTTTATCTTCCTTTTCGCTGTCGAAACAAGTTGCGAGAACAGCAGTTCGAAATCGTCCTGTGAAGCGCTGGCGTGAGCTGTTGGACGAAGATACAGAGGACGTGCGTCAGACGATGGATTGGGAACGAAGTCGAAGACTTGCGCGGGATGTCACGGGTGCGCTCGCTGTAGGGCGGAAGGCGAGTGATGTGCTTCCGCGATTGATGTGTATATCTGCTCGGCAAAGACATCTTGCGGGCTAGTAGTGGATGGATGCTTTCAGATCACCTCATATTTGCCGGCCCGTGGTGCTACACTAATACTACCTTAAGTACACATACATGGCCTTGTATTAATTGTATTACATAATAAACATCGAGCCCAAGATCGAGTGTTTGCGAGTTTACGATAACGAACACTTATGGAACAAGGAGTTGTGGGTCCCTGTTATTGTTCCAAGATACTTCGACTCCCAAATGCCGTGAAGAACAAGGTCGTTGCGGGAGAAGCTCGGCCTTTCATCTACATAGTAAGTTCTGGTGAAAGTATTTAAAAACGCCCAGTACATGCACATCGCACCTCTCTTAACACCGTTACTTTTCACAAGAATGGCGAATACAGCGCAGCCCATCATTCCAACGACCACACCCGTTCGAGCGTTTGAACTTGAAGCTCATAAAAACACCGTATGCGCAGTTGCACTGTTCCCCGATGGACGACGTATGGTAACGGGCTCGACGGACAACACGCTTCGTCTATGGGACTTGAAAAGCGGGATTGTGTTGAAAACTATGGAGGGACATCTCAGCTGGGTGCAGGGTGTGGCAGTATCACAAGACGGGGAATTGATAGCAAGCGGGAGTTTGGACGGGAGGCTCATCGCCTGGAATGGAGAAACTGGGGAGCGTCTTGTTCAACCCATTCGAGCTCACAAAGAATCGATCCGCTGGATGGACTTGTCTCCAGATGGAACAATGCTCGCGACTGGTTCATCAGATACGATGACGAAGCTATGGAGCACAAAAAATTGGCAGCTGCAAGGAGATCCGATTAGTTGTGGTAGTGGAGTCTTCTGCGTTCGGTATTCACCGTCTGGTGGACTTCTCGCCATCGCGACATCCAAGAATATCCAAATATTGGATACACGCACAAGGATTTGTGTTGCAAACTTCAAGGCTCATGCACACACTACGGAATCGTGGAATGTTTCACTAGCGTGGACACCTGATAGCACACGGCTTCTCTCAGGGGGAACTTCCAAGGATCCTACTATACGAGAGTGGGATACGTCGACCTGGAAGCAGGTCGGTGATCCATGGACAGGCCATTCTAACACGATCTACGCCATTGCCGTGGATTTTTATGGGACCCTGATCGCCTCTGCATCTCATGATAAGCATGTCCGCCTCTGGCAGCTTTCGGATCGACGAACTATCGCCATATTCGAACACCCGGGCTATGTCCTCCGCGTTACCTTTTCCGTGGACGGCAAGCACATCCTCAGTGGAGGGGAAGATAAGGGCCCTATCTCAAAGTGGGCAATACCAGAGGACGCGTTGCCTAATTCCAAGGTAAGTCTCCACCCTTGACTTATGTAGTATAACATGATTCGAGCATAACTCATAGTTCTTCACGTTAAACACGACAATCCGCAATGCATTCATAAATGGGGACTTGTCTACTGCTGAAACGCTGCTAACACGGGCGATCAATGCTAACTCCAAAATCGACTACATTTCTTACGCCAATCGTTCATTTCTTATGGCGCAGAAATCCGAATGGGGCTGCGCGCTTGATGATGCACGTAAGGTAGGATGCATCGTCCCATTATCTCCCCCTAAACATAGGCTAATTGGTAGCGTAGTCTCTCAACATCCAGCCCTCTTTGACGGGCTACATCTCCAAGGGCATTGCCCTCTGCGGACAAAAACAGATCAAGGCCGCAATGAAAACATTTGACCTTGCGTTCGTATTTATAGACGGAGATTCGAAGACCATCCTTCTTCTCCTGTTAATAAAGGTATGTCAGTGTTTTCTCGCGTAGTTCTTGCTCCTGACCGTTTTCAGGCCATTGCACTTTTCAATGCAAATCAGTACGAAGACGCAATACAGCGTGTCCAAGAGCTGGCTGCCGTTTGTTGCAGTGCTGATACTCTTTCCTGTCGTATGGTAGAAGTGAATATCAACTCAATTAAACTCGGTTCTTACCTTGTCGATACTGATTATTTTGACTTTTGTGCGTCAGGCGTATCTAAATGTTCAACTGGGAATAAATGCCTTGAATGACGCGCGTTACAGCGAAGCTGCTGATCACTTCACTGTTGCTATCAACACCAACGCCTTCTCATCTAAACCAGCCATCCACCCTATATATGAGGACTTATCCGTGGTACGTTGATACGATGCAGCGTCTCAAAATCTCATGTCTCTCATGCTCAACTGGTGCTTTATGCAGCTTTTTGGATGGGACATTGAGTCCTTGTGGAGAACTGTAAACCAGAAACGGTGCGATGCACTGCTTCGGTCGGGTAGAATTCGAGACGCCGTCGAATCGTACCACCACATGATGAATATGAGTGATGAAATCACGCAGGCCAGCTGCCTTGATTGGTCTACTGGCAGGTCTTCAGTAATGTCACTCATGCTGTAATCCTCACATGTATGTCCTCAGCTTTTAAGGATGAATGGAGTACGCTCTGTGTCTCCAACGGAGATACTGCCCTAGCCGCGCGCGATTACGACAAAGCAATTGTGTTATACTCGGCAGCGACTGACCTCGATTCTGTACCCCACACTATCTTTGTAAACCGCTGTAAGGCGAAGACAGACAGAGGGGTATGGGAGGAAGCGATCCCAGAGGTGCGACGGCATATATTTCTTGTGGCTAATGCTCATTGTAATGCATAGGTCATCGAACTCGAGCCTTCGTCTTATCTTGGATATCAGCTGAAGTATACTGCCTATCATGGCGCACAACACTTTGATGAGGCTATTGATACTTTGGACAACATGCTCTCCAAGTTAGATGATGCTTCCGAGTCGCACATGCGAAGTAAGCCTAAAATTCCACATCCGTCAAGATGCTCAGCTTTTCCCTCAGACCTGCGCAAGCAGTATATCAGTGCATTCGAGGCGGAAGGTGTTATCCGAAAATCCATTGACGTTCAACTTGACAACGCCCCACTTCGTCTACTAGATACCACTATCGGTCGTTTATGTGACCGAGAGGCCCAAATAACCACGTTCAAGACAAGCATCGAGTATAAGGAACTTCTGCTATTCGTAATGAAGCATCCGGATCCACCAATGGTGCACATCAGAGAAGTGGTGGCAAAATTCTTCCGTTGCGTCATGCTGTCACACAGGTGGGACGCGGGGGAGTCACTGCTACACGACATCCAGGACAAGATTGTGTACGAGTTGAATCCAGTTAGTGGCATCGTGAAGTTGCAGTTATTCTGTAAGACTGCTGATGTTGCGGGTTATCGCTGGGCCTGGATGGATACCTGCTGCATCGACAAGACAAACAACGTTGAGCTCCACGAATCAATCAACTCCATGTTTGTATGGTATCATCATTCAGCACTTACGATCGTTTACCTATCAGATGTTCCACCTTCCTCTAAGCCTGGCGCACTGGCAAAGAGTATTTGGAACAAACGAGGATGGACATTCCAAGAACTCATGGCTTCGAAATGCGTCCTCTTTTATCAGAAGGATTGGTCCCTATATCTTAATGATCCCTCTCCCAATCACAAGGATTCCAATGAGATCATAGAGGAGTTGGCAGGTGCCACAGGCATAGACCGAGAGAGCCTCGTTACTTTCCATCCAGGGACCGGAAATGTCCGAAAGACACTCCAATGGGCATCCTCGCGTATCACCACACGGCAGGAAGACATAGCTTACTCCTTGTTTGGCGTCTTCCGCGTCCGCCCAGGCGTTGATTATGGGGAGAAGAAGCAGTTCGCCCTTGGGCGGCTCTTGCAAGCGATCATAGCTCAGTCGGGCGACATTACTGCCCTGGACTGGGTTGGAAGACCATCCAAGTTCAATAGCTGTCTGCCAGCCGAAATCTCTTCATACAAAGCTCCACCGTACACATGCCCATCTCTGTCTACTCAAGAAATGTACAGATCAGTCTCGTTGCCACGAGATAATGGGGCTGTACAATTGGCTTCGAAATTGTACAGCGAACTTGACTCCCTTCATGCTCCCCGTTTTGCACATCAACGTCTACATCTACCTTGTATCGCATTCGTATCACCGACATCAGACGGCAGAGCCATCAAGGCCAGGATGCATGCGTCACGTATGAAGTCAAGGCAGACGGACTTCGAGACCTACTGATCACCACGGAAGACGGACTCACTCGAATGACCGAGTTCTTGCTTATTCGCCCGTGGGATCATGATCTTCTCGAGTTGCCTGATGACGTGCACAGCATAGGCGATTGGACCCCGCCCGGATCTCCCATAGACGTTACGCCTGGCGGGTCCTCTGGAGAGCATGGGCTGGTTGATTCGGAACGAGCGTTGCGATTGATTGTTCGCCTTGGACAGCCTTTTAGCGCGTTTTTGCTAAAGCGCGAGCGCCGCAAGGAATACAAAAGAGTTGCCTCGGATCGTCATATTATCGCACAGTTCAAAGACGCGACTTGTATTCCCGACGTGAAAGTCAGGACACTAGAGATATTGTAATAGAGAATTTGATTTTTACTTAGATTGTGACTAAACTATGACTACACAAATATTACACTCCACGCTTGGTAACATTCGATCCCGTGATAGTATGGTCGATCTGGGCGGTGGTCAGCTTTCCGTAGCTATACCGATAAGAGCTTTGCCTTGTACATCAAGTACTGGCAAAACCCAACGCCGCGCTACTCAACGCGAATATCGTGGAAACAATGTCGATGCCAGGGCTCAAACCCATTATCTTCTATGATATTCCCAGCGTCGTGCAGAATGAGCCATGGTCTCCAAATACGATGAAAACAAGGCATGTTACCTGCCTCAGGAGTCCCTCTTCGTCATTGACATGTCATAGATATTGTCTCACCTTCAAGGGTCTACCCTTCCAGACCGTCTGGCTCGAATATCCGGAGATTAAGCCATTCTATGAGCAGCATTCTCTCGTACCTACCACCTTGCGTGACATCAAGGGAACCCCAACGCCCGTGCACACGCTCCCTGTCATCATGGATCCCAATACAAATAGGTTGATTACAGACTCCTTTGCGATTGCACAGTACCTTGATGAGCAATACCCCGATACACCGAAAGTACTGCCAAATAACACAGCTGCGCTGGTGCACGTCTTTCACACTGCGTTCTATGATGTCACAAAGGGCACCGTCTTGCTGGGCAGTTTTAGAGGTGCTCAGAAGCTCAATCCCGAGAGCAAGGAGTATTATATTCGGACTCGTCAGGAGCGATTTGGCATTCCATGGGAGCAGTTTGCAACGCCTGAGAAGAGAGAGAAACAGTGGAATGCACTGCGTGCTGGATGCGATACCGTGGACGGGTGGTATGCGACGAGCAGCGGTCAATTCATATTGGGGGATACACCGTGTTTTGCTGACTTCATGGTTGCGGGACTATGCAATTGGGTACGGTATTGCTTTGAGAGTCAGGAGTGGGAAGAAGTGAAGAGCTGGAATGGAGGACGGTGGAGGAGACTGGTGGAGGCAACTGACAGGTATCTTGATTGTTCGAAGTAGTTCCGTTGAGCGTGATGCGCTCGGCTGACCTACATGACCAGAATGCACAGGATGTAATAATAATTGTAAATCAACAAGTGAAATATTGATACAAATATGTGGAGTCATTGTAGGGTGCAAGTCTGTACTGCACTACTCTATGATGGAGGTGGACGACGGAGAGTAACATGGGGTTTTGGTGCGGTGGTGGTCTCCGCCGTAGGCTTCATCTGCTTCGCCAGAGAATCGTCCGCGGCCAAATCTTCTTCTCGACTACGTTTGCTAGCTGCGGCCGCTGCGCCAATGAAAGACATCCCTATCTAAGTATCGGAGGTAGTTACAGTAGGGGGCGCAGCAGGTGCCGGTGAAGCGCATCCCCTGTGTGTGTATCGTTCACTTGACCCGACTTTCTCCCGCGTTTCTCCAGGACTTCAGTCATGCTGGGGCTAGACGTGGCCGCAGTGTGAATTAAGTTAGGCACGAACTTATGCAACCTTATGTAACGGTATCTGTCTCCGCGATGACAAGCCTGCACGAGCCGCCAGACGTATCACGTTCAAGCTTCAATGGGCTGCCATTCAATACATGCACTGGTATCCCCTTCATTCTCGCAGACTGACTAGTTGGTCCACTGATGTCCAAGTAGAGTTCGACAACTTCAGCGTGACAAGTCTCGACTTCTATGAATAACCCTTGCTGACGAAAAACAGCGGCACCGTGCCGGGACACTCCCGCAGTCAATAGTCCCATTATGATGTCTGTACAAAGCCGTTGAACTCCGTAGCCATGCCGCTGTCACAGGAACGGCTATAAATCTCCCAATAGACCCTCGAATTCAACATAACTATGAAGGTCATCTCTGTATCCTCTCCATTAGATCTCTGGACAACTGTACGCTCGGTTGGTACATTCACTGTCGCTTGTTCATTTGCTGCATTATGGGCCTTCGTCAAAGTTTTAAGGGCCCTTCGCTGGCGATTGAAGACGACTCAACTGAGGGGTCCGCCTCGCACCAGCTTTATATACGGCGTGTCGCACGACATCGTTTCATCTAAAGATAGTGGTGGAATGTATGAACGTTGGACGACAGAATATGGGGTCGCATATATGATTCCGAGCGTCCTCGGACAGACTAGAATCGTACTGTGCGACCCGAGAGCTATAGCACATTTCTACGCCCGAGAGACATGGACGTATGTGCAGACGCCCCTTTCGTTGACGCTTCTGGAGACATCAGTATGCAAACATCGTCATCTTACTTTGTCTTTCTGATATCTCCTATCAGGTTGGCAGAGGGCTGTTGTGGTCTCAGGGTGAAGATCACAGGAGGTACTGTTCAGCTCTTGTCCTCGCGCTAGTGACTTATCTACTACCCGCGAATCAGGCAGCGGAAGGCCCTCACACCAGCATTCAGTAATGCGGCGATTCGGAAACTCACATCAGTGTTTTATGACTCAGCATACAAAGTGAGCATTTGCGTTGTAGAGAATGTGGCATCTGTTATCTTGACACATCACAGGCCAAAGGTGCATGGGATACTGCTATAGAATCGAGTAAAGATGGTGGCGCTGTCATCGAGGTTCAGAACTGGTACGTAGCTTTCTTGGCTTTGTAAGGGGCATTTCTAATCGAAATAACTCAAAGGATGAATTATATATCGTACGCGACCATATTTTGCCATCGACGCCTTTAATTAACGCATCATCAGTCTGGATACGATTGGCATTGCCGGTTTCTCCCATGACTTTGGTTCGCTCGATGGAAAGCGCGCTAGCGTGACCGAAGTGTTTGATACTTTCGGAAACAACCAAAAAGCTTCAGCAGGGAACCAAGTTCTTCTTCTACTCGCGTCAGCGTTTCCTATCATCACCAAGATCCCCACCAAGCGGATTGATCTGATCAAGAAACTTAGCGCAGCTATGGGAGAAATATCCGATGACTTGTTGATTCGCAGCCGCCGGGAGAAGGATGTGAATACGAGCGGGAGAGACGAGGAAAAGTCCATCATCGGTTTGCTGAGTAAGCTCTCCAAAAGATTCATCGTATTCTCTCGATTGACGCGGCGATCAGTTAAATCCGAAGGCCAGGATGCCGAGCTTCATATGTCGAAGGAGGAAGTAGTGGCTCAGGTCCGTAGAGACTATGTATCACAGCCATGACTTACAAGCTGACATCCTGCAGATGAAGGTCTTGCTTCTCGCGGGTTACGAAACGACGTCGAGTGAGTTCAATTTTTGTCCACTGCCATCATATTAGCTGACTTTTCATCGACAGTCAGTCTTACGGTGAGCCTACTGTGCGATCATGTCTGTGCACGCTATTAATGTGATGATCAGTGGGCGCTGATCGAGCTATCGCGACACCTCGATGTCCAAACCAGCCTCAGAGAGGAACTGCTTGCGTTTGGCGCTGATCCGACATATGACCATTTAAAGGCCAATTTCCCATACTTGGACGCGGTTGTCCACGAAACTCTACGACTCCACCCTCCTGTAGGCGAGTTCACTCGTGTTGTGAGTGTGCCTGTCTACATGTAAATACACACTCACAATAAGTCTACAGGCAACGCAAGACGACGTTATTCCCTTGAGCGAACCTGTACGCACGATATCCGGGGAAATGACGGACAACATATCGATAGGGAAAGGGACATTGATCACGATATCAAGCGCGGCGATCAATCGCTCTTCGGTCATCTGGGGACTTGACGCAAAGGAATTCAAGCCTGATCGTTGGCTGACTGAAGACGGCATCAGTGGGAAGGCCAAGGAAGTCCAAGGTCATAGGCATCTCCTGACATTTGTCGATGGCCCGAGGACGTGTCTTGGCAAAGATTTTGCGATCACGGAATTCAAGGTGAGTGATTCGAATCAGCCAGTTTGGACGTTACTTACTGCGATACAGACGGTTTTATCGGTCCTGGTGAAGAACTTTGTGTTTGAGATGCGTGATGGACCTGATACTCCAGTCGAAATTGCGAGGGGGATTTTACCCCGTCCACGGGTTGTTGGAGAGGATGGTATTGGGGTACCTTTGAGAGTTCGTCGGTACGAATGATTTGGTTGTGCTGCACTAGCAATTTTACTGTATTTATTTTCTTCTAATTATTCGCCGCTGATGCCCTTGGATTGTATTCAGGGAGAGCAATGTGTGATTCATATCGTAATATGAGCACTATATAGTTCTGTATGTGCTATCCTTGCTATTATTTCTGCTGCCAAGCGGAGCATTCCCAGAACACTGACACCCATGGTGTTGAAGTAATAAGTAGTGTGCGAAGGCTGATCGATTACATACTGACATTAACATTCTGGTCGATTTGCTCGTCTTATGAATATCCCCTGTGTAGAATCTGCCAATTGCCATTCTGCCGTTTTTTTGGCAGAACTCACCCCGAAATATTTCTGCCCGACACTACCAGTGGCAGCATTACTGCGCAAACTAAGGGTGGTCAATTTTAACGTTGAGTTAACCTCATGCTTGGTAACATTCGATACCGTGATCATATGATTGATTGATGATCTGCATTCTGCGGGGCTGCGGACAGCTTTCCTTAAGAGCCAAGAGCTTATCTTGCACATCAAGTATTGGCAAAACCCGGGTGCTGCTTTACGTGGAACACGATGGGGGAGACTGGTGGAGGCAACTGACAGGTATCTTGATTGTTCTAAGTAGTTCCGTTGAGCGTGATGCGCTCGGCTTACTTACCTACATGATCAGAATGGCACAGGATTTAATAATAATTGTGAATCGACAAGTGAAATATTGATACAATATGTGGAGTCATTGTAGGATGCAAGTCTGTACTACACTACTGCGGGTCTAGTTATGATGGAGGCGGACGACGGAGAATAACAGGGGGTTTCTCCGCTGCAGGCTTCATCCGCTTCGCCAGAGAATCGTCCGGGGCCAAATCTTCTTCTCGACTACGTTTGCTAGCTGCGCCAATGATAGATATCCCCGTAGTACCGGAGGTAGTTGCAGTAGGAGGTGGAGCAGGAGGTGGAGCGCCGCCCCGGACAGGAGCCGCACCTCGGGTATTGATGCCTCCTCTCCCAGTGCCACGCGGAGCAATTCTGCCTCGGCCACCTCTGGGGACACCAAGTGAGACTGCACCACTGGTGGGTGGCTTTTCTCCACTAGCAGCTGCAGGTTGACCTGCCGGGGCTGCTGCTGCGGGCTTCACAGCTGTTGTACTTGGGGCAGTTGCTACCTGAGTGGGAGCCGTAGCTGGTTGTGAAGTAGAAACTGCAGCAGTAACTGGGGGTGGCACCTTGGAGGTTGACGCTGTGGGCGTTTGTGGTGGCGGAGCTTCGGGGATCAAACCAGCCTTTCGCCACTCCAACACTTGCGCTTCCAGATCCTTAAGCTTGACCTGAGATCGAACAAGCTGACCATCTTTGATCTTGCTCTTTGCCTGCGATTCTAATCTACCCCGCTCGACGGCTGCATCCAATTCTGCGCTATGTCGTTCTCGGAGCTCCGCATCATGAGCAGCGATGGCAGCGGCAATAGTGGCTTGTGTTGACTCATCAGAGGAAGAAGTGGCAGCCTCCGTTTTGGCAGCTTTAGTGGCAGCGTCTACTGCCGCCTTGAGGGCCGCCTCGTGCTGGGCAGTCAGCTGAGCTCGCAGAGCCTCCAGTTCTTGGGCATGCTTCTTCGAGAGTTCCTCGGTGTTTACAGAAGCACCACCGGCAGTCATTTCACTCTTGGCCTTCTCTCTAGCTTTCAGCATGTCCTGGATTCTAGTTTGGAATTTTTCGTTGGATTGACGGAGGTTCCTGACTTCATCGGATGCCTTTTTTGCCAAATCGTCTACGGTCTGAAAAAAAGCCGTCAGTGTAGCTTCACACAGTCAAACTAAGTGACCAACACTAGCACGCGCCAATGCCTCGTCCCGCGCTTTTAAGAGTTCAAGCTTTTCCGACTCCCACGACCGTGCAGTATCAGAGGGTAGAGTAGAGGACCCAGTTTTGCTCAGAACCTCCTTCTCTGCCAAAAGTTTATCTCTTTCCTCCCTG